GCCTATGACAGGGTATGTGATTTTGCCCTTGAGATATGGTTTTGGGTAGGAAACCAAGGCCTGGAGTTTTAACCCCCTGCTGTCAGTTGGCTGCTAGGGGAGAGAGAGAGCTCATAGGATTGATCTGTTGCTATTATTAAATTACAGGATTAGATATTTTCCTGTTATTTCAGCAAGGCCGTCCTTACACTCTTGCCCTGATTCAACTTTAAAGATTAAGAAAAGGCAAAATAATATTTTATGACATAAATATGTATAATAACTAAAGGAAGGATCTTTTAACTGCCAACTAACTAGAATATCTCATTCTCCAATCTTGCTGGAAACTAAAGAATATTTAAAAAGTAAACCAATGCAGATATAATTACACATTATCAGAATGGCTAAAGAATAAGTGACAGGCTGGGCATGGTGGCTCACACTTGTAATCCTAGCACTATGTCTGAGAGGCTAAGATGGAGGATCACTTGAGGTCAGGAGTTCAAGACCAGCCTGAACAAGAGCAAGACCCCGTCTCTACTGAAAATAGAAAGAAATTAGCCAGATAACTAAAAATAGAAAAAATTAGCTAGACATGGTGGTCCAGGCCTGTAGCCCCAGCTACTCTGGAGGCTGAGGCAGGAAGATTCCCTTAAGCCCAGGAGTTTGAGGCTGCTTTTGAGCTAGGCTGATGCCACAGCATTCTAGCCCATGACCAAGCAACAGAGCAAGACTCTGTCCAAAAAAAAAAAATACACACACACACACACACACACACACACACACATAGTAAATGACAATACCAAATGCAGGAGCTGGTGAAGAACTGGATGTCTCATACATTGCTACTGAGAATGTATAATGATACAGTCACTGTGGAAAACAGTTCAGCAGTTTCTTATTAACAGGCAATTACCATATGACCCAGCAGTTGTACTTCAGTGTATTTAATGGAAATAAAGACTTTAAGTTCAAAACCTGCAAACAAATGTTTACAGCAGCTTTATTCATAATTTCTAATCAAAACTGGAAATAACCCAGATGTCCTTCAACAGGTGAACGGTTAAATACCTGTGGTTCAACCCTATCATGGTATGGTTGCAACAGGCTCCAAGAAATTTCAATGATCCCTATCTGTTTTTTATAATCTACTTACTTAACTACTTGAACTTTTGAATTTTTCCCAGAAATGGTGGATTTCCTGAATGACAAATGAGTTGAGATTCTGAAGTCCCCAGGGCAGACTTCCTGAGGCCAAGACTCATCATTGCTCTCCACCTGCCCCAAGGTACATGGTCCCTCCTTTAAAAAGCCCGTGATCTCCATTAGTCTGCAGCTTCTCCAGAAAAGGCATCTTTCATATTAAAAAATTGCTTTCTTCCTTGTCAATCCTTGGTATCTCAATAATTGGATCTTTGCCCCGGGAGCAGCTAGACCAAGGCTGGAAAACCCCTTGTGGTTTCAATAACGAGGGGACACACTTGGCACCCCAGAGTTAGCATAACGATGAATTTAAATTGAAGACATCTGAGATTGAACAAATGCAGAGAGATCCTTCTAGGAGCTTCCCTTATCTAATTAAAAGCAGCAACCTCTGGGAAATGAGGCTACCATAAATCCCCTCTCTTGGGGAGAGTGTTTGGCCCCAAAGACCGACTATTCATAATAGTTGTATAGGCAAACATTATAACAAACTTTCTGATCACCTGTTTTCCTAAAAAATCTATTTCTTTCTTAAAGAAACCTATTTGTGTTTCCCATAGAAGCTGTTTCTCCCCCTTTTCCCCTAAATTAGCTAAATAACCTTTAATTGTAACCATTTAATGAACCAGACAATGCTCATGAAGCATAGGAAATAAACTTTTCACTACTGTTAACCTGTCTTTTGTCTTTTGATTCCCAGGCCCCCATCACTGAACCTAAGAGGGTAGAAGAAAAGTTTTTTCCCCTCCCCTACAATGGAATACTATTCAGCAAAAAGGGAGGAAGGGAAGGAAGGAAGGAAGGGAGAGGGGGGAGAGAGGGAGAAAGGGGGCAAAGAGAGAGAGGGGGAGGGAAGGAAGAAAGAAAAGAAAAGAAAAGAAAAGAAAAGAAAAGAAAAGAAAAGAAAAGAAAAGAAAAGAAAAGGAAAGAAAAGAAAAGAGAAAAGAAAAGAAAAGAAAAAAGAGAAACTATGACTATACAATTCCATTTATCTAACTTCCATTAATCTAACGTTCTTGAAATAACAAAACTATACAGATGGAGAAGAGATTAGTGGTTATCAGGAGTTAGGGACCACAGCAGGAGGTTAGAGGTAGCATGTGTTTATCAGAAGGCAACACAAGGGATCCTTGTGCTGTTGGAAATGTCTGTAGTTTGACTGTGCTGGTGGATACACAAACATATATGTGATAAAACTACATACATATATACATTTAAAACTGGGGATATATGAAAAAGATTGGAGGATTATATTGTGAAAGTTGTCAGAAAGAATCAAAATGCAGTCACTACTGTTAAAGAACAAACAAAAAAAACAGACAAATAGCGCCAGGAAAGGCCATGAAGAGGGTTCTCATGCTTGCATGCCTGATAAAAACTATCACAAAAGACTGCAAAAACCACAACCTTGCACAAAGGCCATCACAACCTTTCACAAAAAACACTTCTGCAAGGACATCTGCCCCAGCAAATGCCTGTCCAACCTTGGATTGCTGTCACCCTTGTTATTGATCTATATAGATTTTTAGGGAAACAGGTGATAAGAAAGTTGGTTATAATGTTGTTGATCTTTGTAGCCAAGCATAATTATTTCAAAATAATTACATAATCCTCATTTTTTCCTTTACAAACTTTTGTTTTCCTTTTCCTCCCTGAATATGCACATATTTACTATGGCATGTGTATTCCTACCACAATGCAAAATTCCCAAATGTCTTTTCTCTTAGAGAGTCTCTGTTACTTAGGTAGCATCAACGTCAGCTTCCTGGTTATGATATTGTACTAAAGTTTGTTAAGGTGTTACCACTGAGGCAAATTGGATAAAGGATCTCTCTATATTCTTTACGACTGCCTGAGAATCTACAATTATCTGAAAATAAAGTCTAAAATTCTATGCCTCCCAAAGTAAATTACTTTATGGGCTTTAAAATGACAGGAATTGGTGTGGCTTATGAGAATTATGTCAACAATTTAGAAGAATTTAATGAAAAAATATTTAACATTTCTTATGCCGAATTACTTGTAACTGCTATCTAAAATATGTATAAGACAAATTCCAACAGCAAGTAGTAGAGAGAGGAAGGTCCTCCAGACTGATTTTTTTATATAACAAATATGGGTTAATTGCCAATATGGTTAATTATGCTCATTTCCTATTATTTCCTAAGGTTAATTAACCTAGTCAAAATAAGAATGGTGATTTTCATGACTTTTTATGCTCCTTTGGATATAAGGATCAATATGGCACATAGTTTTACAGGTTTATGGGACAATATTTAACATCGAGCTTGGATTTGACAGAGTTGGCTCTCTTACATAAGGCAGTCAGTTGCTGGAATTACACTGGCCACATTTTCTCCTACAGCCTTAGGCTCTCTGCGGTTGGCAAAGGTGAAGTCTGCCAAGGCAGCAACAGTTTCCCTTATGGGGAAACATGAGGAGGAGTAATGAGGATTTGCTTATTAATGCTGTTTATCCTTTGGGGCTCTGTGTTCTTTAGTATAGTAAATCACGAAACCTTTCCCAGTAGTTAAAGGACTCTTAATCTTCTAGATGTTATTGAATTCTAACTAAATCCAGAATATTCATTTTAAAATCTGATTGAAGTACTGCATTTCTCATTTTAGATTTTAAGTTGATCCCTTTTCCTCTTTCATATCCCCACGCCAAAACTTCTACACCAGAATTTTTCTCCAACCTCTGCTTGCTTTCTCCATAAACAGTAGTTTTTGTTGTAGGTGTTTTCCAAAACTGCTGAAAATATAACCTTTCCCTTCCACCAGGCTCTGGCTCCTCTTTCTAGTCTGTAGCTGTCCTTCCTAACAATGCCTTGCCCTTCTAGAATAATAATAGTGACTTCCTCAAAGGCCGGCTAAATAACCACAACAGGGCACAATGCCACCAAATCAACTAAAGGAGACCTGTTGCCTACTGTATGACCTCGGCCAAGTTAACACTTTCTCTTTCCCAAATTACCAACTCATAAAAATGAAACCAGACACTCACTTCCATTTCCAAAGAAATCTTAAAAGACAGGATCATTATAGAACTTTTTTTTTTCTTCAGTCATAACACCTTACCAAGTACTGGAAATTTCTTTGACCCATTCTCCTTTTCAGGAAAGACAGATTGTGTAACAGACAGAAGTTAAACAGAAGTCAAGAAACCTGAGTTCCGGACCAGAGGTTGCAGTCAATGCCTGCAGGTGTCAGGTGGACACCAAGTCGAGTGAAGGGAGCATTGAACAAGGTCACTGCCTGCCTCACTTTGTAACCATCATCTCCATCAGCTGGCCTGCTGTGTCTTGCACTTCTCCAAACACACAGCCTCTCACTGGTTTGTTTACTATATGTGGCACACATTTTGCTTAAATTGCCTTTGCTTTCTTCTGCTACAATTCTGAATAAAGCCTATTTATCACAAACCTCCTCCAACTGATAGCCTACTAATTCTCCTTTTGCTTCTTGGCCTTTTTTCAACATTGACCCAGAATGATCTGTACTGGACTCCAAGGGCTCAGACTCCTCTCCTCTTTCCTCACTAACCCTCAGATGCCCAGAATCATTTGTGGTTTTTACTAGCATTCATATCTCTAGATTCAATCTTTTTGCTACCTCCCAGACCCATTTCCTGACCAGCTTCCAAAATGCTTCCAGTTGTAAGTTTTACTAACACTTTAAACATGTCTAAAACAGAATTATCTTCCTTCTGTTGCCCCAAATTACTTTTCCTACAGATGTCCCAATCTTTGCCTATCACTAAGCTATTCCATTTAGAAAGTGTGGAGTCCATTAATTCTTCCATTTCAAGATAATTACCAAATCTTCTCAAGTCTTCTTTTCTCAATGTGTCTTCCCTTCTAATCATCAGTGGCATCACCCTAGTTGAGGGCTTTGTTACACCAAAGGTGGACTTTTGAAATGGTCTAAGTGGTATCCGTGCCTTCAGAGTCTCATCTGACAAATTCCTTCTGTGAGCCGCTGACCATTTTATCTTGTAAAATGCTTTGGCAAACAGCACCTCAGAATCTCAATGGCTCCTGTTGGAATTTTTCAATAAAAATCTTTCAAATTGTAGATCAATTTCTGTAGTCAATAAACTGAGTGAGGCAAATAGTTTGAAAGAGTTTTCTACCCAGTTAAAAGGAGAAAGGCCACCTTTTCCCACCCTTGTGGAGCACAATGTTATACAGGTCTATATCAGTGTGTCTCAATGGGGCAATTTTGGAGGCATTTTTGGTTACAATTCAGGGATGCTACTGGCCTGTCATGGGTGGAGGCCAGGGAAGCTGCTAAATATCCTGCAACCCACAGGACAGCCCCCACACAATTGATAATTATCCACCCAGCCCCAAATGTCAATAGTGCCAAGAGAGAGAAACCCTGGTCTAGCCCTTAGAAAAGAAAGAATAAAGACAATGCAAGCCCAAGACAGGGTTAGTGTACGAGGATCCTGAAACAAAGGAGAAAGCATCTTAGGGATGCCAGAGAGGATCTTTATGGTTACTTGGCCTTCCTGGCACCATATAGAAAGAAGGATGAAAAACAGATATATTTGCATCTGCAAAGAAACTGCCACTTCTGTACCAGCGAGTGATAAAGTTATAAATGCCTGGGTTTTGGTAAACAAAAGGCCCATTACTCAGACTGCGCAATGCTCATGTAGGAAGTGGCAGAATAAACCTGTGTTTGCTTCAATCTGTGACCATTTCTAGCTTCCTAGATTGGAGAATCCAAAACTACTTGGCAGTTAACAGCTCTACACTGCTACAAAAGCAAGCACAAACTTAACACCCTTAACGGGATAGGGACTTGCCATCTGAACCCATTCCATCCCTCTGCAAACTTGTCAATTCATCTATCATGGCATATTATTTCTTTAAAAAGCAGAGCATATTTCTACCTGTACACCCTTGCTTATATAGCTCCTTGTCTGGAATCTCCACTTCTCTGCTGCTTTACCTGAACCTAAGTCATCCCTTCTTTGAAAGGTCAGTTCAAGCCTCTTCTCCTATAAACATTCTGCCCATACTATTTACTTAGCAATAGCAATACACTATCTTCTGTCCTAATATTCATTTTAAACATATTTTCTGCCTCTTCAATTAAAAATGTAATTTCCTTTATGTAAAGAACCCTGTTGTAAACTCATAGGTCCCCAAGACTTATCCATGTACTTTGCATAAAGTGAGGATTCCCCACCTCCTTGCAGTTACTGGAAATGGGTTCTATCTGTGTTAATAGCTAACTAGTATTTACTGAGAATTTACTATGTGTCAGGAGCTGTCCTAAGCATGTAACATCTATTATCTCACTTAATAATGCTGTTCTCCCACTTTGCAGAAAAAGGAAATACAGAGTGAGGAAGTAACTTGTTTGTCATCACCTGGCAGAAGGCAACAGGGTGACAGGGCCGGACTTGTCCTTTTATGAAGAACTAATTCTCTAGGTAATGCCATGGCATTAATCCATTTATGAGGGTGGTGTCCCCAATGACCCAAACACTTCCCATTAGGCCCTACCTCTGCACTGGTGATAAAGCTCCCAACACAGGAACTTTGGTGGACACATTCAAACCACAGCACCTACCAAGCTCTCTTGACCTGGATGTCAAATACATGCTCTGAAAAGGTACTGTTGGCTGGGCTCCATGGCTCACGCCTGTAATCCCAGCACTCTAGGAGGCGGAGGCAGAAGGATTGCTTGAGCTCTGGAGTTTGAGACCAGCCTGAGCAGAGCCAGATCCCGTCTCTACTAAAAATAGAAAAAATTGGGCATGGTGGCGCACACCTGTAGTCCCAGCTAGACTCGGGAAGCTGAGGCAGGATGATCGCTTGAGCCCAGGAATTTGAGGTTGCTATGAGTTAGGCTGATGCTTCAGCACTCTAGCCAGGGCAACAGAGCAAGACTGACTAACTAACTAACTAAATAAATAAATAAATGTACTGCTGACTTTGTTGAACAGCAAAAAGCTGAACAAGATTTATATCCAATCTGGCAGCTGCTATCCAGCAGACCTTGGGAACCACAGGTTGACTATGTCCAATTCTCCATTAATAGGGTTACTCAAACCAAATGGACAGGGCAGTTCTAATCTACCTGCAGGACCAGAAAAGACCTGAGAAGGCAGAGTTAGGCTCAGTGAAGGCACTGCAACCTGTTGTGTGACTTGGGAACAATGGGTATTGTCTCTGGGTTCCTCATTTGCAAAATGAAGACACTAGTAACTACTTCATCAGGTTCACAGGAAGGGTAAAGAGGATAGTGGATGTAAAATGCTGTCCTGCCCCACAGTAAGTTTGCAGTAAATGCTAGCTCTCCATTTGCCCCTGGATAGGGACCAAAATTAGCCCTACCTTGCATTTCTCCACCCTCATGCCACTTGTGACCACATGCTCAGAGGCAGGATTCTTTTTTACTTCTTTGTCTCACATTAAAGTCTATTTTACAGGTTTTTGGAGTTAAGAAAATTACTAAAGTCATGTCAGTATATTGTTACAAAGGAACAGAAATATTTTCTTCTGATTACTGTTTAATACCATTTATAACTGTTGGTTAATAACTTAGCATAGAAAGCTTCCTGGGTTTTACAATTTGACTCTGTTCAAGTGCCTTAAAATGTCCTCATTTCCCTTGTGCTGCAGTGTTCTCACCTCCCCAGTTCCCTTCTAAACCCTAACCCAGTTTCCAGAGAGCCTGTCTCTTCCCCAGTGGTCCAGTCCTCTCTTTCCAGTGAACCCACAGGCTGACTGTGGACCTCTTAGGATTTGTTGCATGTCTAAATGATATGAGGTTGGTGGACATAGTTCTACCTCGTCACTAAAAGACAAACTTCTTGAAGGTAGGGTGTTTTACTCATTATTATATCTGCCATAGCACACAATGCCTCATGCATGGCATGGCAGTAAGAGCTAACATTTACTGAGAGCTGATTATACCCAACACTATTCTAAGTACCATACATGACCACATAAACAACCCTATAGAACAGGTACAATTAATCTTGATAACAACTCCATGGAATAGGTACAATTATTCTTCCCATTTCACAGATCAAGAAACTGAGACACAAAGAGTGTAAGTAAGCTCTCTAAGGTTATGCCACTACAAAGTGAGAGAACATGGGTTCAAACCCAACCAATCTGGCTGCAGAACCCACAATCTTAACCACTATGCTACAGTCAACATTCATTCAATTACATTAGCTAACTTATGTAAAAGAGCTTTAAAAACTATAAAGGACTATAAGCCACAATAAGACAACAAATCCAAGCAAAATCAGTCTCTGGTATCTCTCAAGAGGAGGCAGTAGTGCTTGAAGGTCAAGTTTAGAATCAGATCAGAGTTTGAATACCAGCTGTATCACTTCCTAGCTTTGGCTTAATCTTTCTCAGCATCAACCTATGAATCCGCAAGATTAACTACCTGCTAAGAATTAATTAATTCTTAAGTGAAGAATTAAGTGAGATGACTCAGCTGCAACACCAAGAAAGAACATGCTTGCCACAGAGTATTAGGTAATAAATGTTGGCTCTAGAACAGAGTCAAATTGTAAAACCAAAGAAACTTTCTTTGCTAAGTTATGAACCAACAATTATTAACAGTATTAAACAGTAATCATAAGAACATATTTCTGTTCCTTTGTGACAATATACTGACATAACTTTATTAATTTTCTTTACACCTCAAGCCTGTAAAACAGTCAAATAACATTAATTATGTCTGATGTGAGACAATAAAGTTAAAAAGTCTGCCTCCAGGCATAAGACTGAGGGAACAGTTGAAAAGCCTTCAACTCATTAAAGCAAATGCAAAGAAAATATAAAAATTTCCGAAGCATCAGCAGTGGGACAATTCCCAATGAACTGCACAAACACAAGTGTATACAAATATGTGAGGGTTCTGGAAAGCATGCCACAGCAATGACAACCCAGACACAGGGGCTGTGAAAGAATCGACATCTCATGTTTAAATCCAGAAATCAGAATTAAGTACAACATAAGGATGGTTTCAGCTCAAGTTCACGGTTTCACCCTGGGCGGTGGTAGGACCGCCCAGCGTGAAATAAGGAGCAGAGGGAATTCCCGTCCTGTATGTCCGAACAACTCTGAAGTCCTTTACTTTTCCAGTGGGGCCGTGGAAGGGAGGGCAGGGAGACACTCTGCTCAGAATGAGACTGGGTCTACATTATAACAATCTTTTGCCGGGAGAGAAGGTGGGTTAGGGCATCAAAGAGGTGACACCTATGTACCGATGAGATCCGAGACTTGCTGGCTCTCAGCGGCCAAAGGCCTGCACAGGGCATCTTGCCAACGCGGCTCTCCGACTCCATGCACGGTGCTTGCTTCTCCAAAGCCTCTAGACCAGTCCCCAGGCCCCTTCCCACAAGCTGCTGCCTCCAGCCCTCCCTAAGGAAGTGGAGGCCAGTTGTGCCGGAAGCCTGGAGGGAGCTCCGGGTCGTGGTCGGCCCGCAGGTAAAGGGTCTGAGGAGACTGGCCCGGGGGAGGGAGGGAGGTGCGGGCCCAGGACGTGGAATGGACTCACGCCGGCGCCCGGGGCCCGTCAGGAGAAGGCCCCCCGTTCGCCCTCAGTCCCCAGGACGCCAGCCCCGCCACGAACGCACTCACCAGCCCGCTGCAGCGCAGCAGCCGAACCGCCAAACCCTGCATCCTCGCTAAGTACCACGTCGCTACTCACTCCTGCACTCCCCGAGGCAGCGCGCCAGCGCCCGGTACCGAGCCAGGGCCCGCCCAGCCCCGTCCCGCCCCGCACACACCCCCCGAGACCCCGCCCCCTCAGGCCTACGGAACACCAAGAGAGACATACAGCCCTCGCCTCTGCCTTCGCCCTACGTCCTGCTCACGCGAGACTTGGGAAGGCAGGGGGGCGGGAAGGGAACGAGAGACACAACAAACATGGCGGCGGCTGCGACGGTGACGAAGACGGCGGCGGCGACGACGGCAGCGGCGTTGAACAAGGAGGTGGGGGTCACTCGGTGCGGTTGTCAGGAGGTAAGTAGCAGGCTGACGGCTTGGGCGGCGGCGACGCGGCTGAGCAGGGCGGATAAGGAGCGGCTGGAGGCGAGAGCCGAGTTCGCGGCGGGCCGGCTGACCCCGCCCGAGACTCAGTTCCCGCAGAGGGTCGGTCGTAGTTGGTCGGTGGGCGGGGTGACGACCCAGAACCTTCCTGGCCGGAGTGCGGAGGGCTGCGCTGCCTGTGGCTGCGAGAACCCAAGGGAGCAGTGCCTCCGCTGTCGGCGCCGTCGGGCAGGAGCTCAGAGGCTCCAGGGTGGGGACTGCTGCACCTGGCTCTGACAGGTGGTTGTGCGGGGTCGCCCCGAGGTTTGCGTCTTCTCGGGGTATCAGGGTCTGAGGGTCAGCCCAGGCGCGGATCTCCTAGGTGTTCCTCATCCAGGCGAGGATGTCGCTCCGAATCTTGGTGAGGATGCTGCCCCAACGCCGATTCCAGGCTGCTCGTTCGTTGGGAGAAGGACTTTTAAAACCTTCGTCTTTTATCTAATAGATCCTGCCGGATCTGTTTCTACTACACGTAGCATGTGAGATTTAGGGAGGACACTTGCAGCAAAGAATTACTCAGGTTTACTCAGAGCTTAGGTCTCTTGATCAACTGTCTGGAGAATGAGTGGCCAAACCAAGCATGCTTAATAACTGGATCCGAACCAAACGGGTTCTAGCTAACACTAACCACGTGGCCTATTTAACGTCTCCTTAATGTGCTGGTCAGAACCTGAAAGTTGTGACAAGAAGAGAAGAAATAAAGGCGTCTTAAATGGTGAGATCTCAGGAAATTCAGTTTTGAAAGGAAAACTTTAAAACTTTTAAGGTGTTTGGACTAACAGCTTTTAAAATTCCGTTTAATTTTGACGTATGTCATGTCTTCAACACTGCTAGAGATTAATACATTGATGGGAGTTCGTTACAGTGAATTGAAATGTTTAGTGTTCTTTTCCTGTAGCAGTCCAGAATGTTTTCCAGAAAACCAGAACTGTTCTGTGTTGCCATAGAGAGAATAATAAAGATGAGATTCAGACGTGCCCTTGTTGGATATGCATGGTGGGATTTTTTAAAACCCTTTCCTATTTCCACAGATAGGACTGAGGCATTGTTTTTATGCAACTGTAGCTGTTCAGCAGTACCAAACCTAACCCTTTTAGAAGTACACTGTGACCAAATGAAATTAATAACTTAAATTTAGTAAGACATTAAATTTTTACCAGAAAAATGAAATCTTAAGAAATCCATCAGTGAAAAAATGTTAGTCATGCCTGTGGAGCTTTTGCTGAAGTATAGCTATTGTTTTATTCTTTGATTATGTCAGCTTAGTGTTCTTTTCAGCTAATGGTAATAAGACAGGCACAAGTTATTAGCTTATTAAACCTGTAGGTGCTAATTAAATTTTTGTGTTAAAGGTTTTGATTTGTGTTGTGCTTTTCTTTGCAGATCTCTGTATGGCTTTTTAATTTTAGTTGAAATTCTCTCCATGGCCTTTTGGAGTCCCTTGGTGTGTCTCCAGAGTAAATTTCAGTTACTCTACATTTCATCCATGTTGGAGTGGCAGGAAAAAGGAGGAACTGATTTGGGGTGAAAAGGTTAGATTGTACAACTTCTCTTTTATATTTCTTCCAACATGGTTTTATTTATGTTTTACTTTTATGTTATGCTTTATGATTTGTCAAAGCCTTATAATGTTCCTTTTTGCCCTCAAAGAGTTTTTGACAGTTCTGAAATCAGGAATTGTGTTCTAATTCTTTTCGAAGGCCCATATTACTCTATAGAAACGAAGCCTCATTTGTTAGCCTTCTCTATTAATGTGTTCTATAGCACAATATATTTTTCAGTGACCATAATTATTAGGTGATAGAAGTAAACACATCATTTGAATTATAATCACTTTATGTGTATAGACCTGCTTAACCCCCAAATTAAGTTATATAAATTAGTTGCTAAGTGCTGTATTTCTCTCTGTGGTTAGTAACCTTTAAAAACTTCTCAGATAATGCTAGATGAATGAAACATATCCTATCATTGCATAATCATGTTCTCAAAATTCTCCCATAGTTTATAAAAAAGATAGACTTTAGGAGGAAGGTAGGTTAAAGAGCCTCTCCTCTGGTTTTTTTCTTCCATTACCTATGTTTCATGGTTATGGTTGCCTTCTAATTTGCATGTTAATGCCTCTGTTTTAGCTCCTGGTGAAGAGGTTCTTAGTGTGTGCACCTGTTACACATATATAGTGTATGTTTGTGTATATTCCTATATTAATTGGCAACTTTCCATTTATAATACAAGACTGAAGAAGAAAGATCAGAGGACTTTATACAAAATAAATCCTTTATCAAAAGCAGAGGAATCTTGAATAGTTTAGATTACTTGCTTGGAGGTAAAGAGATTTTCATGTTCTTTTGGGATATCAAATCTTAATTCTCAGATACCTCCCTTTCCTCCACTGGCTTGGATAGTCTTGGTCATTTTGTAAAAACATTATTTTTGAGCCTTGAATGGATAATTTTGGGGAAGCTATTGGCATAAAAATACTTTAGGTATACTCTAGCCAGTTTCTATGTAGACATACACTTATACTCCATGGAATTCCACATTTAACTCAGCTTGCCTTAATCAGAGTAATCACTGGAAGGATTCAGGAATTTTGCTGTATCATAAAGAATGATAATCATAAAGTTTAAGAATGTTCTTCTCTTTGGTTGATATGATTAGAGATCTATCTTAGTTCAGGCTGCTGTAAAAAGTTACCATAGACTGAGTGGTTTAAACATTTATTTCTCACAGTTCTGGAGGCTGGGAAGTCTAAGATCAAGGTGCCAACAAATCCGGTATCTGGTGAGAGACTGCTTTCTGGTTGTATTTTCACATGGTAGACAAGTTCCCTGGATCTCTTCTTACAAGGGTGCTAAGCCCATTCAAAGGGTTCCACCCTCATAACCTAATTACCTCCCAAAGAAGGCCCCACTTTCAAATACCATCCCATTTGGGGTCAGAATTTCAACATACGAATTTTGAGGGACACAAACATTCCGTGCATGGCAATATCAGTTAGGAGAAAGATAGATTTGGGTTGGAATATACCACCCAAATCTATAATAGTTTTGGAGAACAATTAAATAAATTTCTATTTCAGATGACAGGGTTTTTACACATTGGAATTTTGTATAAAGTAAGTAAATTTTGGCCAGTAAACTCCAAGGTGTTGAATTCATGGCCAATAGGAAAGATACCATTGAAGAAAATTATTGTTTGCTGATTTTCTAAAGTATAATATATTTATTATGTTTGCAAAGGGTTTTAAGTTTATCTGTGCTTTAGAAGCATCTCCAAATATCAGTTAATTTGTGGAGTTCTTAGATTAAACTTTAAGTCCTGAAATTGATGATGATTATTTTAAATAGAGGAAAATGGCTTGGATAGAAAACCTCTATTTTCTTTCTGTGAGAGGAAGTCTGTTGTATTTTCAGAATTATTATTTTTCCACTTATTGTGCTTAGAAATATTGACTGGAGATGGAAAAAACTGGGTTTTGAGCCAAAGACTCTACTTAGTTTTAGGCACCTTTCATTTGGGTCTGTTCTATCAACTAGAGCTCTTCTCTATAAGGGCCTGTCATGCTCCTTATATATGGATATATGTGACATAGGTGACATAGGTCAAGTGGGCACAGAAATGCTTAGGGATGAAATGACACCTAATTTATAAATCACAATAGGATGTTTAAGGTTATAAACCATATTAATATATTTAAAATCTAATTTAAGAATAGTTTTCCTTCATGTTTACAATGTTATTTTCTGTTATCTTATTTCATTGGCATCAGTTTTTTTTTAAGTCCATCATGTGTAATGACGGAAAAGCAGCATACAATTTATGGCAGGGAACACAGTGAAATTTATAATGTGACAATGTGATAATAGCCAAGACTGTCAAAATATGCCAGCCATCCTCTGTAATTAGGCTCATTTGTGTTCTTAAACTTGAGATCTTGAGATGCCTGTATAAAAATATCATTTTCTTCTGCTTGCTTACTGGCAGTCTTGTGTGTTTTTACTGCATTGTCATATGTACTGTAGCAGTGTTATGCTTTCTAATCAAGATTTGGTAAGATTTATCTTGCTTATTGAAGCCTATCAAAGTATATTCAGACATTTTCCAGGGAAATGTATCAGTTTTCAAATGAACTGATTGGCAAGAAGTGATGTTAAGTTGCAATGTAAATACTGGGATTTTTTTTTCTTAATTACAGCTTTTATAATTAGAACACAGACAATCTGTGGGACTGTATGGCTTTTACAATTCAAAAAATAATTTCCCAGGTCTTATTCTTGATAATCTTTTTAATTGGAGCTGACTAGCTTACATTTTCTAACGAAAGGGCAAAATTTAAAGGAAAAATAATCAGCAGAATCAATGATAGTCACAAAACATAGTAATACAATGATTAGGAAACAGAGAACCAGTTCAAGTAAAACCAGTAAGATGGGGAAAAAAAATAAGTGAAACAAATTGTTCAAAACCCAACAATAGTGGAGGGGGAGGGGGGATTGCTCGCTGTAATCCTAGCATATTGGGAGGCTGAAGTGGGAGGATTGCTTGAGGCCAAGAGTTCAAGACCACCCTGAGCAACAAAAAAATTAGCTGGACATGGTGGCGCAGGCCTATAGTCCAGACTGAGAAGATTGAGGCAAGAGGATTGCTTGAGCCCAGGAATTTGAGGTTGCCATGAGCTATGTTCATGCCACTGCACTCCATCTCCAGCCTCAGTGACAGAGCAAGACCCTATCTCTTGCCTCGGGGTGGGAGTGAGGGCAGGGAGCCAGCAATATAATCTATAAGATTGAGAAAGTTGAGCCAGATTAACCCTTTGCACTCGGATGTTGAGTCTGGATAATGTTGAGTGGATAATGAGAAAAAAGCAAGCGAGTGCAAAGGGGTTTAAAGCAAGTGATTTAAAGATATGGCCTAAAAGTAAAATAAGAGATGAGTCTGGGAAATTACACACTGATTTGGGAAATTAGAAATTGGGATGTATGAATTAATAAGGCTCAGGTGGACAACGTTTGTTTCATCGTAACTAAGGAACAAATACATGCTCAGTATATTCTCCAAGTTGATGAACTAATAGAAAAAAACTGTGAATCTGAGACATTGAAGGATTTCTTAATCCAAGGTATAACCATTTTTTACTACAAAAATAATTATTAATAGAAAAATAGCTACCACTGTCTGCATGCCTACCCCATGCTACACGTTGTAAGTTACTTTATGCATATTTGCTTGTAAAACTTAAGATAGTACTGCAAGCTGGTTTTCTTATTCCATTTTACAAAATAGGAGACTAAGGCTGAAGAGAGGTCCCTGTTCAGAGTCTTAAAGCTAATGAGTCTCATCCAATACCAAAACAGAGTTGTCTTTTGATGTCTAAGGGGTATTGGTTCCAGGACCCCCAGGATACTAAAATTCATGGATACTCAAGTCCCTTATATAAAATGGCATAATATTTGCACATAACCTACCTTTACCCTTCTTGTGTACTTTAAATCATTTCTAGATTATTTATAAAACAGTACACTGTAAATGCTATGTAAATAGTTGTTACACTGTATTGTTTGGGGAATAATGACAAGAAAAAAGTCTGTACATGTTCAGTACAGAGGCAACCATCCATTTTTTTTCCTGAATATTTTTGATTTGCTGTTAGTTGAATCCACAGATGTTGAATCCACAGATGCAGAGGGCCAAACTGTGTTCTGTTATCCAAATAGATTTTCTGTAACGACTTTCTAGAAAACAGTGAAAAGAGGTAGCAATAATAGTTTTCCAAAGCCCCTGGGTAGCTTCTAAGAAGGGAGGAAATGTTGCATTAAGAAAAGTGAGAATTCAGTTACCTACAAGTCCTTATTAGGTTAAATATGTTAAGAATAAAGAACAGATTAGAGGCCGAGTCAGGAGGATTGCTTGAGTTCAGGAGTTTGAGACCCCATCTCTACTAAAAATAGAAAAAAAATTAGCCAGTCAACTAAAAATAGAAACAAAAAATTAGCCAGGCATGGTGGCTTGTGCCTGTAGTCCCACCTACTCAGGAGGCTGAGGCAGGAGGATCACTTGAGCCGAGGAATTTGAGGTTTTAGTGAGCTATGATGTACTCTAGCCCGGGGAACAGAGTGAGACCCTGTTGGAAGGAGGGAGGGAAGAAGGGAGGGAGGGCAGGAAGGATGGATTTAGGAAAAGAAATATTTACCATGAGGTGTATTTAGCATAAAAATATTTTTACTGGAAGAAAGGATTCTTTTGACTCCCAGGTACTTCATCATCTTATTCTTAGTAGAAAACTTTTTAGCTATTTGATATGTGAGTTTGGACCATAAACCTATATGAGGACCAGCTTGTGATTGCAAAACTCACAAGAGACTTACCTCTCTACATCAGCATCTGGGATTTCTTTTTTTCTTTTTTTTCCCTAGTCTTGGAGTGGGTAGGATGATGAGTGATAAAGGTGGTGATTTCGATATTTCTAGAGCAGGGGTTGGGAAGCCATGGCCTGTAGGTCAAATCTAACTCAATGCCTATTTTTGTAAAGTTTTATTGGCACATGGCCACACCCATTTGTTTACATATTATCTATATATGAAATTATATGAGTTGAGTAGTTGCGGCAGAGATGGGCATGGCAAAATGCTTGAAATATTTACTATCTGGCCCTTAAGAAAAATTTTGCCATCCCCTCTTCTAGACCACGTATTTCTAGACTAATTGATGTGAACACTATGATCTAAGGACTTGCGTTAACCACATGTGGCTGTTTCAGCTTAAATAAAATAAAAAATTCAGGTTATTTGTATTAGCCATATTTCAAGTGCTCAGTAGCTACATGTGGCTAGCAGCAACTGTATTGGACAGCATAGATATGCAGCATATCCATCTTCCAGAAAATTCTCTCAGGTAGCCCTGATTGAGCCACTTTATTCTTGACCCTCTGCCTCATTGAAAATTTCTGCTGATGTGCTTATTTCTTTCATCTGAACTTACTTTCTCTTTTTTCTGTCTTTGTGGTTTCTTTCCATCTTCTATGATTAAGTTTGAATCTCAGTTTATATTTATTAAATATATTGATTTTTTCCACCATTTTGTATGTGCCTTCTTTAGTTCACTGGAAAGAGTATAAGGTATTTTCAGGCAGGCACTGTGTTTTCTGTTGCTTTATAGAGTGTCTTGCAGAAAATAGTTTTTGTCACTATTGTTTTACTATGTACTGGATCGCCCCAAATCATTTCAGTTCTTTTTCCTCTAGGTATAACGAAGTGTAAACTTTAAAAAAGCAAAGATGGGTGAAAAGAAACCAGAGCCTTTGGACTTCGTGAAAGATTTTCAGGAATACCTGACTCAGCAAACCCATCATGTGAACATGATTTCTGGATCAGTTAGTGGGGACAAAGAAGCAGAGGCTCTTCAGGGAGGTAGACTCATCTTAATACTACTCAATAATCCACTTTTTGTAAATATATTAATATTTGTGTGCAGTTATCCATATTATGAAGATCACTGCTCACTAATGTGAATCATTTTTTTTTTCCCCTGGAAAAATAATGGGGCGTTTTTTTCCTTCTTTAAACATATCAGATTTTTGCTGAGGGAGAGTGCTCAACATGGTCTGGAGATGTATTGGTTGTCTTTTTGGAAGGTTGCAGATGCTAAATACCCTTCCTGTCCTCCACGTTCTATTAGCTAACAGCAGACACGGAACCCAAAGGGGATCAAAACATTAGCTTCACTATACAAGCAGTTCAGCCATCAGGAGTAGACCTGAGACCAAAGTAGGGGTTTCTGTTTCTTACCTTTTACAATGAAGAAAGGGCTGACCAGGTTTACCCATCCAAGAAGAGAAACTAGAATAGAGAAAACAGTGACCTGCTTGAGCCTGCTAAAGGTATATTTATTTTGTCTAGTTCGCTTGCCACACAAAAACTGGAATTTATTCCTAACCTAGCTGCTCAGGGGTCAGCAAACTATAGCCTGTGGGCCCCATCTGGACTGCTGTATTTAAATACCCTGCAAGCTAAGAATGGTTTTTACATTTAAAAATGGTTTTTAAAAAATAAAGGAGAATAATGTCCTGACACATGAAAATTCTGTGAACTTCAGACTTTCATGTATAGACATGCTCTATTGTCTGTAGCTATTATTTTCTATAGCTACTTTTATGATAAAACAGCAGAGTTCAGTAGTTGTGATAGAGACCATATGACGAACAAAGAGGGTCTAGGTAGGGGTTGTAATTTAGGGACTGGCAGCAGGGACCAGCCATCACTTGGGAGCTTGTTAGAAATGCAAAATGCCAGACCCCACCCCAGATTTACTGAGTCATAATCTGTGTTTTAATAAGATCCCCAGATAATTCATTTAGATATTAAAATTTCCCACTGGCTTGGGAAAGCAGTGGGAGAGAGGGAGACACTGAACCTGATCCCTCCATTGTAGTGGCCCTGTTGAATATCAGCCTTGCCTCACTGCAGAATCACTTCTCCTGGCGAGGTGGGAGGAAACAGGAGCAGGGGCCTTGAGTTTCTCTTGCCAGCACTGCTGCCTCCTGGGAGGGAGCATAAGATGTTTTCCCATGAAGCTCCAGGAATAAAAATTTCCCTCCTAATGCTAGATCGCAGACTGGATTTAAGAGACCAGGGTTGTAGTCACTGCCATTTGCTGTTTTTCCTGATTTTGAGCAGCACCTATCCCTTCAGTTTCTTTATACAAGGAAGTAGTCAGATTAGATTAAAAGCAGACAGCCAAACAAACATCTTTTGGCTCTGAAATTCTTAACATTCCCAACATTCAGAGATATCAGAGACAATACTTTTCCTTTTTGTGGCTTAATTAGAATTCTAAGATCCTAAATATAACCCAGAATTTAGAACATACGTATAAACTGAGTGGGATGATGGAAAGCTTATTAATTGCTTGTTTAGACTACAGTAAATAGAGTTAGGATTTTGGTGATGATTATGATCATCAGCTACAGCTGTAGAAACAGCTAAGGTGTTAAACACCTGTGTATAACTGTGCCATCACTCTTCAATGAATCCCTTTACTCCCCTCTCTCCTCACCTGTTCTCTTCTTCAAAAGTATGTTGAAGACTGATACAATTTATATGTAAATAATCTGAGATCCCTCTATAAAAAGGTTCTTAGAATATAATACAGAACATATTACTGCTTTTGTATAAAATTAGCCTCAGTTCAGAAAGTCTGTTAGAAAATGAATTTAACTTTTGTGGGAAGTGAACTGTCAATTTATGAAAGATTTTCAACCACTTAAGACTAAAATGCTAAATTGAGTTGATTCCGAAATGCATAATTTCTTTTGCTATACTTTGTTTATAGCTGGAACAGATGGTGATCAAAATGGACTTGATCACCCATCTGTTGAAGTTTCCCTGGATGAAAACTCAGGAATGTTAGTAGACGGGTTTGAAAGAACGTTTGATGGGAAGCTCAAGTGTCGGTACTGCAACTATGCCAGCAAAGGAACAGCCCGGCTTATCGAACATATTCGAATCCACACAGGTAATGGAGACACAGCTAGAGAAGGCATTTCTTTGAGGGCAGGAGTTAGGGGCCAAGGAGGGCAGGTTGATCTGTTGTATAAATAGTTCTTATAGTTCAAAAATGAAGGTTGATGTAAAGTTTGAATAAATGGGGAAGTTATTCCATTTTTACAAAGCATCAGCATAACAACATGCAGACAGGTCAGAAGTGAAGCCCTTTGTCTTTTCTTTAGCCATTTTACTTCTTGATCCAAATAATCTCAACATCAGTCTGCTTCTTAGGTTGAGGATAATGCTCAAAGCATTCTGAAGTGATAAAATGTCTTTATCCTTACTGGTACATTTTAATTACAAAAATGGGAGAAGTTTTCTGTACAGTTACAGACTCTACTGCTAATTGTAGGTGTCACCTTAGCCATCACTTCTGAGAAACCTGCCTAACTAACTACACCCTGTCTCTGCCTAAGACCAGGTGAGGTGTCCTTCCTGTGTGCTCTATTGCTTCCTGTGCTCATTCATCACATCACTGTGGTAGCCCAAGAGCCTTTTGAGGACAGGGATTATGATGAGACCACCTTCATACCCCTAGAGCCTACCAGGGCATCTGACACATACTTGTTAGATGAATGACTCCAAATCTCATATTTCAAATATTTATTTTTACATATTTGCGTAGTTGTCAATTGACATCATTAACTAAAATTGTTCCTTCTGGCATCTGGAGAGTAGGAAGACGGAGAACCATTGGCAATTCTGAAGGAACACTTTGACACTTTGTATAATTCATACTTAGACTAGGAAGCCCATTTGGAATTTGAGCTTTCTGTTTCATATAAGGACTTTCTATAAAGGATTTTTGTATATATTTTTCCCCTGAGAAAAGAGTTTGCATATGTGTGAATATGTACAAATAAGTGTTTACATATAGATGTACAAGGGCTGTCCAGAAAGTGTCCAGCCACTGTTAATACACATTTTTCATAGCACATAGCTGGATACTTTCTGGATAGCCCTCATATACATGAACATATAACTGAGACATACTTTTGATAAAATCATTATGTAGGGACTGTTACTAGAATATTTTGTCAGTTGTACTACTTCTTTCTCCAAATGCCACTTGGAGCCATAACAATTTTTATACTATATTGACTAGTAGAATATAAATGCATGTCTCCAGTTGTTGCTGATGAGTTAAGCTTTATCTGTTTGTTTCTTTATAAATTTTAGTAATCTCTTATGCAAATTTGAATTTCCGAGAAGCATTTTCTTCCTGATCAATTTCCAAATCCAATGAATGGACAAACATGAAACTTTCCATAAATGAGCTGTTCTTGTAGTTTCTCCTCATTTTTCTTTTGAAACAGGTGAGAAACCTCATAGATGTCACCTTTGTCCATTTGCATCTGCTTATGAACGTCATCTGGAAGCCCATATGCGTTCTCATACTGGAGAAAAACCATACAAATGTGAATTATGTTCCTTCCGCTGCAGTGATCGAAGTAACCTGTCCCATCATCGAAGGCGCAAGCATAAAATGGTACCAATTAAAGGTACTAGGTCTTCCTTAAGCAGCAAGAAAATGTGGGGAGTTTTACAGAAGAAAACAAGCAATCTGGGCTATAGCAGAAGAGCACTAATCAACTTAAGTCCACCTTCCATGGTGGTTCAAAAACCAGACTACCTTAATGATTTTACCCATGAAATCCCAAATATCCAGACTGACTCCTATGAAAGTATGGCGAAAACCACACCAACTGGTGGCCTTCCAAGGGACCCCCAAGAACTTCTGGTTGACAACCCTTTGAATCAGCTCTCAACTCTAGCAGGACAGTTGTCCAGTTTGCCACCTGAAAACCAAAACCCTGCGTCCCCTGATGTAGTTCCCTGTCCCGATGAAAAGCCTTTCATGATTCAGCAGCCTTCTGCCCAAGCAGTAGTTTCTGCTGTGTCAGCAAGTATTCCTCAGAGCTCCTCTCCCACGAGCCCCGAACCTCGGCCATCACATAGTCAAAGGAACTATAGTCCAGTGGCAGGTCCAAGCAGTGAGCCAAGTGCCCACACAAGCACTCCTAGCATAGGAAACAGCCAGCCAAGCACGCCAGCCCCAGCCCTGCCAGTCCAGGACCCTCAGCTTTTGCACCACTGCCAGCACTGTGATATGTACTTCGCAGACAATATCATTTACACTATTCATATGGGATGTCATGGGTATGAAAATCCTTTTCAGTGTAATATATGTGGATGCAAATGTAAAAACAAGTATGATTTTGCCTGTCATTTTGCAAGAGGGCAACATAACCAACATTGAAAACAATCATATTATGTTTTACTTGGTTTTGCCTTTTTTGTGTTTTGTGCTTTGGTGTTTTTTTTCATCCCTGATAAAGTGTCTGCTAATTTACAGTTAATACATTATATTTATAGAATATAAATTTGACAGTGGAAATAGATTTTCCCATTTTTTTTCCCCATAAAAGTCTGGTCAGAGTCATTTATGTATTAAAAAAGTTAGACACATTGTGTCTCTTTCCTTTCATTTAGACATTTGAGAATTAGAGTGCAATCATAATCTTCCAGGTGTTCATTTAAATTTTTCACATTTATGGTCCATAAAAACTTAAAGGCTTATCCATACTTTTGATATTTCAATATAGACACTGAGCTAGAGATGTTATTTCTGTCATAAAATGGTAGAATGAATTATCTTCTTATAAAATCTGTTACAACTTATTTCAGTGTTTAGTAGAGAAATTGCCTTAAAAATTGCTCTTAATTAAAATATTTAGTTCACATATCTTAAGTTGAATTAGTAGTTTCATTTCAACTGACAATAATGAAGCTATTTCATTTCAGTGTAGTAAATTTTTCTTTTTTCCACAGGGGAAATGTAAAATAGTTAATTCTTACAAAAATAGGAGATGAAAGTTCTAAAATAAAACTTAAGACTTTAAATTGAAAAGTGTGTTTAATATTTAAAATACCTGTTTATTCAATTTCTAGTTTAAACCCATGTCCATTCTCCATTGAATCTTTATTATATTTTGGATTATTTTTTAAAACCACAGGTAAATACACTAGAGTGCTTTTACTTTCAGCTTGAACTTTTTTCATTTAAAGCTTTTCTTACATTACTAGTGTCAGATGAGGTTGATAACTATAGTGAGAATCCTTTATTCTTCCTATTCCTTTGAAGACCAAAGAGGTATAGTGGAAGTCATCCATCTTATTATTAAAATGTAGAGCTTTGGAAAAAAAAAAATCTCTGAAGATTCCTTTTCCTGCCTTCTATCCATTTATTGCCCATAATTTCCAAGAAAAGGTGGGTATAGAAACACATGGGAAAAAGATGGTGAAGTAATATTTACAAAAATGAGAACATGTGTCCAAAATGGATTCTGGTTTCCTTTTCAGATTGGCCATCTAAAATGTTTTCTGTGAATTCAAACTGTAATTCTTATTTGCAGTTTTACCAGTCTTCTTGTACAGTGATAAAACAATATGGAAACTGAATTGTCGCCTTAGTAATAAGAAAGGATAGAAAGGTGTGAAAATGGATACAAAATGCATTTAAATATATTTGTTTATAAAAATAAGACTTGCTAAATAAATCTAGAGTAATTCATTTTGAATAGGAGGCTGTTGTTTTTATATTGTGTAATAACTAGCTTACTCTGAAGAGAGCTTGGTCAAACAATAAAATATATTGTTACTAACTGTTGGTTTCTGTGTACTTTGCAAAAAATTTATTTTTAATTTGGTTCATATCTTCTTCAGTGTGCTCTTAATTGGCTTCTGAAAGAGACTATCCTGTTAAGCATCTGTTAACCCAAAAGGACCTCTACTCTTGTAGTAAATAAAAGGGAAATACTGATGGTATATGCCCACAAAAACCCCAAGTGCCAAGTTAATGGATCCTCTGCCCTCTCTTCCAAATGCTAGAAAGCCATTGTAATGAGTTCTTGTGGTTTAGTATCTAAACTAATCTCAACTGTATTGTTTAAAGAGCAGCATCAAGGACAGTTTCTCCAAACTAGAACTTTGTCAAATCTTGTGAATCCAAAATTCTACAATTCTGTCTCACTCTGTTGCTTAAATCATTCACTGCTCAGTTCAGTTTTACTGCAGCAATTTCCGAATGTAACTTTGCTCTAGTATTTATCAGTTGCCAGAAAGAAACAGGTCATTTGGAAGCTTCTGCAATTATTTTTCCTTATATTTTTCAGGTAAAAGCAATACCCCAAAATACAAAATGAAAATTTTCATTAAAGAGAAAGAACTCTCTTATTAAAACCAGCTTATTAACTCTATATTCTGGGCCAAATACATTTTTTTTTTTCCTAACAACTAAAGGTGGATGTTTTGGAGGTGCATTTTAATTTAAACATGGAAAAGATATTTTTTTTCATAATTACAAACTAGAATGTAATATCCTAATTTTCCTATGACTTACAGAGCACAGTTGATATCCCAAAGGTGTTGATGCTTAAAAGCTACAATTATTCTAAATGCACTTAAAATTTTTGAGGCAAATCTACCTTAGAAACTTTTTTGATATTGTATTTTTTAAAAGATTTAGGATTTTATTTAAATTTCCTGTGAGTTAAATTCTGTATTTGTTAAGATGTTCATATCTTCCCTTATGTATTAAATACATTTCTCATTTTTAATCAAATATTTTATAGAAGTAAGTTGTTGAGAAAAGTTTTAACATGCACTATTTATAGTACTTTGCCATTAACAGGCAATGTTCTGAAACTAAATTTATTTTTGTTCAGTGAACATAAGTTTAGATTTTTAAAGTTGGTAGATAATTTATCTCCACTAATATTTTTTTAAAAAACTGTGAAGAGATTAACAGGGAATAATTTTATTTCAGATTATACTAATGTAGTATGTAGCTACAACTTGAAATTCAAGTAAAGGCTAGACTTTTACTTTGAAAAAATTCCATTGGGTATTTTCCAGTGCTATTTCATTTTAGAAATAAGTGTTTGCCAGTCTTCTCCAAAATTGTTTGACAGAGGGATTACTAAAAAAATAAAGATAAACCTCATTTTAAGTTCTACCAAAATATTTATCAAATGAATGTGTTACTAAAAATATAGATTCCCTGCTGAAGACTTTTTCATTAGTCTTAGGGGGTGTATGCTTTCTAGAACTTGTTTTTGTTAATGTGTACTTTGATGTATAACAACATATTTTGTATGCAAAACATAAAACTTGCATTATGGTTGTAAAATACACTATATTTAGGGATTCCAAAAAGCAGTTTAATGCTGAAATACCTGTATCTAGTATGTAGTTCATATTGTGATGAAGCTTTGCTTTTGTAATATATGAATAAAATAATAACACTTTCTAATGACCTCGATTTTTCTTTTTTGAAAACTAGGATCAAATTAGTATTTTATTAATTTTCCGCTATGTAAAACGTTATTAAAATAAATAGATTCTGTGGCTATACTGGTTTGAATTTCTAGATGCCTTACCTGAGGAGATCTCTCATGAGTTTAAAAACAAAAACAGGTCCATCCATACATCTGCAACTTTTCTCCCCTCTAGTTTTTTCTCTTTATTCAAGATCCATTTAACTTGACTTCAGTCCCCCAATTCCCACCTACCCTAAGCTTTCTGGCATATAAATGAGGAAGGCTGCCTCTGTGCTTAATTATCAATGTCACATCTGACAGGTGACAGACTGAAGTGTTATGACAAATGAATCCTTTAGAATGAACTGATTTTTTTCTTTTTTAAAAAAGAGTGGTCTTTGCAATGTGTATTACTGGCCTAGAAAATATATAGTAATACAAATTTGTTTTAATTAGTTTGCAAAAGCTTACCAAAATCAGACATTTGATTGGAAATTCAGATATTTTAATGCTGCTTTGAAAAATATTTCTGTACAATATTATCTTTCTCATAATGAAAAAAAGAAATGACATCTGGTATGTCAATAATTTGTTGAAAGCACAGATATTTTTTGTTTCCTTGTCTTAGGTCTTCCAAAAACTCTGTTTTGAGTTTATTAAGTTCTTCTGCTAGAAGCTTCAAGTTGTAAGGAAGCACTTGTTCATCTAAAATAAAAAGATATTCCCAGATTATTTATATAAATTAAAGCAATCTGGACTGTCTAACAACATCAGGAAATTAATTTAATTACTTTAGACAAACCAGCCAGACTATAAATAATCACAATTGAGTTGGTGTAATACAAACAAAAGGTCACAATGTGATATACAACAATCTGAAACAAAAGAATTTAAGTAACTTTGCTATGAAATGTATGAGCAGAAAAGAGAAACCTGAAAGGGATTTTTTTGTGGACAGGAAGAGCCAAGATAGCAAGACTTACTATCTTATTGAACTAATAAGTAGAAAGGCAAAAAAGCAGAAATAGAAAATTGCAATTTAGGGTTTTTTTCCCACAATCAACAGTACCAGACAATTTAATTTTGAAACTGATAAATCATATCTAGGACAGCAGTCCGATATAACTTTCTACAGTGATAGATTCTGTATCTGCTCCATTCAATACAGTAGCCACTAGCCATCAGTGGGTAGTACTAATAAATAATTGAATTTTTACTTTTTGTTAGCTGTACTGAGATATAATTCAGATACCATATAATTTGCCCTTTTAAACTGTGCAATATGAAGGTTTTTAGTATATTCACAGATAGGTGCAACCATCACCACAGTTAAGATATTTTCACCATCTTAAAAGCAAATCCCTAGCCTTGAGCTGTCATCCTCCCACCGCCAATCCCTAAGCAACCACTGGCCTACTTTCTGTCTCAAGATTTCTCTGTTCTGGACATTTCATATGATTGGAATCACATAATATGTGGTCTTTTGTAACTAACTTCTTTCACTTTGCATCATGTTTTCAAGGTTATTCCATGTTGTATAGCATGTATCAGTACTTCATTCCTTTTTATGCCTGAATAATAATATTCCATTATATGGATATACCAAATTTTATTTATCCATTTGTCAGCTGATAGGCACTTGGGTTGTTTGCATCTTTTGGCTATTACAAATAATGTTGCAATAAACACCTGTGCACAAGTTTTCGTGTGAACATGTTTTCATCTCTCTTGGGCATACACCTAGGCATGGAATTGCTAGGTTACACGCTAACTCTTATCTTTGAGGGACTGCTAGGCTGTTTTCCAAAGCAGCTGCACCATTTTACACTCTCACTAGAAGTGTATGAGGGTTCTGATTTCTCCACATCCTCAAAAACACTTGGACTTTTTAATTCTAAGCATCCTAGTGGGTATGAAGTTGTATCTCATTATGGTTTTGATTTGTATTTCCTTGATGACTAATGATATTGAGTGTGTTTTCATGTGGTTATTGGCCATTTTATATCTTCCTTGGAGAAATGTCTATTCAGATACTTTGCCCACCATTTTATTTTTTTATTTTATTCTTCTTATATTTTTTTGAGACAGTCTTGCTCCGTCACCCTGGGTAGAGTGCAATGGCACCATCACAGCTCACTGCAACCTCAAACTCCTAGGCTCAAGTGATCTTCCTGCCTCAGCCTCCTGAGTAGCTCTGACTGCAGGCATGCACCACAAGGCCCAGCTAATTTTTCTATTTTTAGTAGAGATGGGGTCTCACTCTTGCTCAGGCTGGTCTCAAACCCCTGAACTCAAGCAATCCTCCCACCTTGACCTCCCAGAGTGATAGGATTACAGGTGTGAGCCACCATGCCCTTGGTCCATTTTAAAAATTGGGTCATTTGTGTTTATTATTGAGTAGTAAGCGTTCTTTATCTACTTTGGATACAAGTCCATTATGAGATAGATGTCTGCAAATATTTGCTCCCATCTGTGAGTTGTCTTTTTACTTTGTTGATGGTAGATAGACTTTTTAATTTTATTTAAGCACAGTCCAGAAACTAGTATCACCTCCCCTCACCAAAAAAAAAAAAAAAAAATCTGGTTTTTTTTTTTAATGGGTGGGAAATGAGTCAAGAGTGATTTGGGGCATAACCCTATCCACCCCACCCCCTTTATTTATAGAGAGAACAGAAGAAAAGCAAAAGGTTGAGCAAGAACCCCTGGAACTATTTTTTGTTTGCATTCTAATCATGCTGCCATTTCTGTTCCAGTTCTGTGTTTTTCAAAGTTTGGATTGTAACCCATTGTTTGTGGCAGCCAGTGTTTTTCTAAAATGAAATCAAATAGAGCATAGTAGAGTTCATTAAACATGTGAGGATGTTTTGTGAAACTTGTTTCCACATGTGTGAGTTCCTGTACTGGGTTACAATATAAAATCTATTTATGGGTCACAGTTAAAAAAAAGTTTGAAAACAAGATATGTTCACAAAGGACAGAAAATAAAAAAGGATAAAAACCACAATAGGGTTAGTTTATTGTTTCCTTTTCTAATGTCCTAAGCTTCTATAAAGGTAACAACAAACGGTGGGGGTCCAGGGGAGCATACGGGAAAGTACAGAATGCAATCAGACTTAACTCTGAACCCCACATATTTAGGAGCTGTTTAGCTAAGTTATTATACCTGATCCTCTGTAAACCTCCATTTCCCCATTTCTAAAATTACACCTACCTTATAGGATTGCAAAGATTAGAAAAAATATTTATAAAGCACTTAACATATAAAAGGCACTCAAAAAATGTTAGCTGCTGTTTTTTTAAAATCCAATTTTAAATACAGCATTGAGTCAATACAAACCTATAGGAATTATTTTATAAAACTATAATTACCACATATTTCATCTATCATATAAATTCGGATTTACAATACATTGACCTTGTCCAAACTCCATGCTGATCTTACACCTGGCCCCTGACTACCCCTTCTCCTTCCTTCCTTCCCCCCATGCTCAATGACCTCTTCCCTGTTCTAGAATGTTCCAAACTACTCTACTTCTGGGGTTTTGCATTTGATGTGTCCACTGCCTAGAATGATCCTCCAGATAACTACATGGTTTGCTCCTTCCCTTCATTCATGTCTTTGCTTAAATGTCATTTCTGAGAAGTGTTCCTGGTTACACTTTTAAAAACAAATCCTCCCCACACTCTTCACTGCCTCATCCTACTTTGTTTCTTCAGAGCACTGGCATATATTCATACAGCCATTCTTCTGTCTCTCTTCTCACTAGAACATTCTGCTCCCTGCTGATTCCCCAGCATCTAGAATAAGGCCTAGTACAGAGTAAAACTCAGTAGAAATTTATTAGATAGATGACTACTCAGTTCCATGGGTGGAATTTTTAGTTATATTTAACCAATTTGCATATTGAAAGATAATATAAACTTTTATGACTGAGAACAAACTACCTGAGTGTCAGAGGAACAACAGCAGCAAGAGAAAGTCACCATCACACCAGCTAAACAGCACATCACTGACAAAACATACCTTTTGCTTCCTTCATCGTCTGAGACACAATTCTTCGGAGTGTCTGATCAACTTTATGAAGAATGTTAGTTGAACATATCATTCTGTCTGTTTCCTATGTAATACAGACATTGTTATTGGAACAATTATATAGTTGTATAAAAGAAATGGCTAAAGTGTAGGTGATGCATATTTGAAGGGACTAATAAGTGGCTTTTTTTTTTCCTGTTTGTTACTCTTCCCTAGGAGAGAGTCCAAATGAATTACATCCCATTGTAAACTGGCTTCCATTTAGGCCAGGTGGCCTCAAACTACAGCCCGTTGGCCATATGCAAGCTGCCTAGCACATTTATCCAGCCCTCTGAGTGTTTTTGTCACCGCTGCCTGTCCTGCTTAGCAGCCAACTCGTCCTGGGCCCCAAGTGTGCACTCTCCAACAGTCTGAGGGACAGTGAACTGGCCCCGTTTAAAAAGTTTGAGGACCCTTGATCTAGGCAGTGATATGCTAGTGAATGTCTAATAACTGGCCCTCCAGATAAAAAACAACCCCAAACCCATCTTTAGTGATTGCCAATTTCTGTGGTGTAAATATTCCCATTCTTGCACATTTTAAGCTACCAACATAATGTCAACAGGCTCCAATGTTTCTGAAAGTTTAACTGGCTTTGGCCAGCCAGCACAAGCTGCCAGCAGTGCACACTGCAACCAGTGGCAGCAGCTGGACGCTGGTGAGGTGCCGACAAGTGACACAGCACCTTTCATGTTTTACTCACCTTTTATTAATATGTTCAGCCCAAGAAGATCTTCCTATGAAAAGCTGTTCTTTTTCATTTATATTGAATCTATACTGGAAGACTTACCTTTTGTTCCACATTGTCCTCAACATATTTTACTGGATTTTCCAAAGCTATACGCAGTAAGTCAGTCACTTCCAGGCTATAGAGAAAGTGGGATAAAATTCAATAAATCCATATATCAAACATCTGTTTTTTAACAACTTTTATTTATGAATCCTAAATTGAATTCTAGAGGAATAAAACTGCTATAATCCAAGATCCTTAACAAAAGGAAAATGACTAAATGGTACAGAAGCTACCAGCAAAATCCAATGTAGTAGCTCAAAACAAATTGTAAGCCAAAACCCCCTCATTTAAAAAATATTAATTTCTGAAGACTAGTACCAATAAGCTTTGAAAAGTCATTTTCTCCTCCCCTATTAAGAGCTGCACTGTAGGCTACCAGAATTCAATTTTGTTCCATAAAGATGCTCAGTCTTTTCTTTCTGGTTTCTGCTTATCCAGTAAGGATATGGATTAGCAAAGTTTCTCAATGACCAAGGGTCCATGGAGGTTTGAGGTAGAATTCATTCATTCACTTAAAAATATTTACTGAGCATCCTCTTATATGAAAAATGCTGTCCAACTACATATGTAAATCAATGAGCTAAGCTGCCTTCTCCAAGCCTGATAATGTAATAGAGACAGATATATTAATTAAATAAGCAAAATATAATTTCAGATAGTGGTAAGTGGACAAGTGAGTGAAGACAAAGAAAGGGATGATAATAAGAGTAACTGGGTAGCCCAGCTAACCTTCTTCACTGCAGTTAGGATGGTGAATAAACGCAGTCACGCATAAACATGTGGGAGGGGCAGAGGGGGTGCAAGTATACAGGTTCTGAGGCAAGAACAAGCTGCTTATGTTCATGCAACAGAGAAGGCCAGTTTGGGTGAAAAGAAGTGAGGATGGTGAGTGGTAGGATATGAAATTGCAGAGTTAACCAAGGTTAGAACACATACATTATGGTAAAGAGTCTGAATTTTACTCAGAGTACAGGAGGTAGCACTGAAAAATTTTAAGCCAGTGAGCTCATCAAGTTAAATCTCAACCTTAAGATGATCCTTCTTACATTAAAAAGAGCCCAGGTTCTGCAATGAGTGAGACTGCACTGGGTCCAAATCTTGGCTGTGCCACTTACTACCTGTGTATATTACTTACTTACCTGGGCCTCAGTTATACCATCTATAGAAGGGGGATATAGTTTTTACCCTTAAAGGGCTGTTGTGAGAATTGAATAAGACCATACACAGAAAGTATTCAGAACATGCCCTGTACATAGTATGTGCTCACTAGCTGTTGCTATTATTATTTCATAGAAGCCTGGGAAAGATGCATTTATCAGATCATCTTTCAACTTCCAATACACCAGACTGGACAGAACCCCTTTACAGTTACACTATGACTATTTTGGATATGAGCACAGGTGACAAGGTTCTTAAGTTCTGAGATGAAACGGCAGATTATGGTAAGAGCTGGCAGTGACACTAGAGAAGCCCATACTCTCCTTGCTTCTAGCAAGGACTGGGTCTCACGGGTCTCAAGGCAATGATGACAACCTTATGCTGTGCTCATGGGATATCTCAGTACCTCAACCAGCTGTCTATTTCCAAAGGAAACAATTTTAAGTATTCCAGGAAAAGTAGCAATCCACTAGTTATGTGCCTCCTCCAAGTTTCAGGATATTATAACAAGTTAAAATTAGAAACTGCACCAGTAGCTTATTTCATAAACTGTCTAAACAACAGTCAACTGATTCCAATTTTGTTTCTTTGGTGTTTTTTTTTAATAGTGTGTTAATGTTATAAAATGCATGGAAACTGTATCCTAGGAACTAAACATTTTGTGGAATGAGTTTAAAAACAGCCTTTTATAAAATTGCCGATCCTTCATAAACAATACACAGGGACTAAGGAAACATGAGCAATATACCTCTAGAACTGCGCTGCCCAATAGCATAGCCACTAGCCATGTGAAGCTATTTATATTTAAAGTAATTAAAATTAAATTGAATTAAAAATTCATCAGCTGTACTAGCTACTTTTAAGTGTTCAACAGTTGAATGTGGCCAGTGGCTACCTTATCAGACAGTGCAAACACAAAATATTTCCATCAGCAGTAAAATTTCTACACAAGCAGTTTTAACTATGGCGAGCTCTAAGGCAAATTATGACCCAGTACCAGTTCTACTCTTTGACACATTTCTTTCTATAAGAAAACTACCAGGCAACCTATTTAGACTGAGCTATTTTAGCAAGAGTATCACAGATGTGTTCTACTGTGAGTTCCCTACTCTGACTTCTGGGAGGCAGTATAATCCTAACAGTTAAGAGCAGGCATTTGCAAACAAACTTGGGTTCAAATCTCAGCCATTACAAGCTAGGTGATTCTGGACGAGCTAAACTTTCTATTTCAGTTTCTTCTTCCACACAAAGGGAGAAATAACAGTATCTCTCCAAGGCCTGTGTGAGGATTAAGCAAGCCAACACAGGTAAGGCATTTAGCCCAGTGCCTGGCCCAGGGAAGCACCCAGGGAAGGATGGCTCTGATTAGAATACCTGGCCTCTGAAGCACATGCTGGACTCTGAATTGTGAGGCTGTTGTGTTCCCAAGCATTTTTCTCAGGGTTGGGCTTTTCTATCTTTCTTCCCATCAGATGGATGGTCTCAGCAGGTAGTGCCCGTGGTCTCTGGCCATTCCTCTGTAAACAGGTCTCAAGAGGACAATCTAAAAAGAGCTGGCAAAAGCCTAACGAATCTGAAAATAGTTTAAAACCATAAAATTATTGGTGAACTATATTTCCAAAATATGAAAAATATATCAGACAAATTATGCCAACTACGGTAGAAAAAACTCCATTTGCAATAGTGAACATCTAGCTTCTAAACTTAAGTAAATCCACCTAAACTTCCTAATCCAAATAATCCTCACTGAAGACAGCAGTGATTTTGACATGTGAATATATGTTTCTGTGTGTAAGAAAAAATGTTTTAATTACATTTCCGAGCCAGTTGGTAGACTTCATATCTCATACTTTGATAATAAAAGTTGTCATCTAAAATCAAAAGCAAAGGTCTAGAAAGAGCAGTTTTCATTAAGAGGTAGCAAGACTGGGCCTCAAATGCTGCAGAAAATATCAGATCTTGATCCTTTAAGCAGGTGATGAAATCTTCCCACATGGCTTCAGTCCTCTTCGGTGGGGCAGACATCTGACACCCACTAACAACAGCCATCAAGAAGTATTCCAGATACCTCAACAGTTCCTGTCGAAGCAATTTCCACTGAGATGGCTACAAAAGACCAAAGAATTGCAATTAGGCCAGTGGGCTGGTCACCTGGCCTCATTGCCACCCGGTCCCATATGAAAATTTAGCTCACAATACTGAACCATTTGTAGTTCTCTAACACTCCAGTCTCTAACCCCCCAGACTTTGGACCAGTACTGGTCTGTGGCCTGTTAGGAACCTGGTTGCATAGTAGGAGGTGAGCACCTGCAAGTATGCAGAAGCTTCATCTGTATTTAAAGCTACTCCCCATCACTCACATTACCGCCTGAGCTCCACCTCCTGTCAGATCAGGTGCGGCATTAGATTCTCATAGGAGTGCGAACCCTACTGTAAACTGCACATGCGAGGGATTTAGGCTGCAGGCTCCTTAAGAGAATCTAATACCCGATGATCTGAGGTGGTGATGCTAGCACTGGGGAGCAGCTGCAAATACATATTATCATTACCAGAGAGGTTTGTATAATTATTTCATTACATATTACAACATAATAATAATAGAAATAAAGTACACAATATATATAATACGCTTGATTCATCCTGAAACCATGCCCCCCACCCCAATCCCTGGAAAAATTGTCTTCCATGAAAACAGTACTTAGTGCCAAAAAGGTTGACGACCACTGCTCTAACACATCTGGTTTCTCATGCCTCCGTGCCTTCATATATACCATTCCCTCTGCCTCGAAAACTTCTAGTTAATGATACTGGTGCTGTATTAAGGCCTTCTCAGACTCAATCATGCAGAAGGCAGGTAGGCTCCTACCATACCTATCATGACACCCCATTCTTGTACACATTATGTCTCCACTCTAGCGGGACTTCCACTGTTTAGGCATTTGCACCTCTCTATTTCCCTGCTAAATCACTAGCTCACTGAATACTCAGCATCCAGCAGAGGGTCTGGCATCTAACATATTCCAGAAATGTATATTAAATGGATGAATGACCGAATGAGTGAATAACGGAAAGAATTTATTTACTATCCAGGAGAAACGTGCAGCCAAAATTAATACCCTTAGAAATAAAATAGTCTGGCTGCAGGTTTGCCCTTGAAATTAGAAAGGTTACAGACAGCAAGAAAATCAATTGAAAGGTCCCTGGGGCAAGATGAAAAGACCCCACGCTAACAACTAGGTTGGTATGGGATGAGGATAGAAAGAGGAAGCAGATTGAGGGGGAGAAAATAAGTAGTTTGAGAATACAAGTACTCTTGTGTTGGTCAAGGGCTGTGGAGAGCACTGACATTGTTAAGAAGTCAAAGCTGGAGGGAAAACAGGAGGAAAGGAGACTGAGGTCCCTTTCCTACTTGTCCATGCTTTAGCACTCGATGGAGATTATACCACATACAACAAATACATATCAGCTAAACCCACTAAACAAGAAACATGTATCACTTCCAAAAAGGTGAGATTTTCTACTCATGGTGACCAGAGGAGTTCCAGGACCTTTGTCTGTAGAGGAAGAGTGGACTAAGTACATAAGTAAGGAAAAAGCCAGGAAATACGACAATCTCTATCAACAACTTTCAGCTTTCTCCTATGTGGTGAAAATACTATCCAAGTAAATCCTGTGCTACCCCGATATTGTATTTACTTCACAATTAACGAAGAATAAGGAAGTAGAAGAACTTTGCTGGAGAAGCCCAGAATTTTTCCATGCACCATATTTGGTGCATGGAAAGACAGTATATTTTCTGTATTTGTGAATATATACTTAGAGAGTGGAGTCACATCATATTTGCATTTGATTATGTAAATTCATTTACATTCAAAAACTAAACAACAAAAGTTTAAAAATTTCAGAGTATTCCAGAGGGTATTTGCTCTGGAGTAAGCAATAGAGGCATAAATCTGTTCTTCCCCCAGTGGTCTCAGCTTCCATATGCTTCTCTGAGAAGATGCATCTCCCTGTGTTGAGTGTGAGCTGATGGCTTAAGTATGTACAAGGAACAGACAAGGTGGTCCCTAAATACAAGTCCGTTACTTCCGCTGGTGGTCAACTAAGAAATAGCCATCGTTTCCAGTGCCAGCAGAGGCAGATTTCCCCTGGAATGAATGAAGATTAAGCTTCAGAGGCCAGACCCTTCATTAGTTCACTCACTCTACTGTCCTGTGAGGGATCCTGACAATTCTGTTATCTTCTTAAAGATGGTTCCTCAAATTGTATAAACTTCAAGCCCCACAAAACCTGAATGTGCGCATAGCTAGATGTTAAACTGGCTATGTTGGAATTTTTTAGAGATTCTTTCCCTGTCCTAAGGAGAAACTTCCCTAGGGATTTTCCAGGAGTTAATTTGACTACAGGGGATATTCCACTTGCAAGCTCACTTAAGAATCTAACCTTGTCTTGAGACTCCACTGTATAGAATACACAATACATATATGCACCAAACATACATACAAACCTCTAAATGCATCATTCTAAAACGGTTGCTTTGTAACTGTTTTATAATATATGTCTGCAGCCAACTCATTCGCTCGCTGCAATAACTAAGTTAACCCCGCTGCACTTTTCTTAAACTCCTGTCTGTCCTCTTCTCAGGGCGTCTTCTCCCACACCAGGCACTGCAAAGTACACAACGGGCGCGCAAAGCCAACAACCAACACGACACAGGCCCGCGCGAACGCGCGGCCGCTTCCACTCCGCCCCGCCCTCCGCACTGACCGGCGGCCGCGCGTCCGCCCCATCGAGAAACGCCTCGGGGATGACGTCATCATAAGCGACGACGCCGACGGCCCAGCCCTGCTCCAGCCGCAGCCGCTGGCCGAGGGCTCGCGCGAAGGTCGACTTTCCTGCTGCGGGCAGGCCGCAGAGGACGCAGAGCGCTAGCTTGCGAGGCCCCTCGCTGCCGGCTCCTCTGGCGCTGTCGGCGGTCTTCATGCCGCCCAGGGAAACCGCAGGAAGCTGGAAACGCTGTCTCCCGCGCCGTCCGTCCGTCAGCCGCGCACGCGCAGTGCCTCCCACCGCCCTGCTGCGCCACCTGGTGCCGCAGTGGGGAATAGGCGGAGCTTTCAGTCCATAGGGGAAGCGTGGTCCCCGCTGTTTCCGAGGTTGCCCCGGTGGTCACCTGAGCCGCTGGGGGCGAGCGTCGGTGAGGCCAGACCTCGAGGCTGGGGAGACCACGGCTCTGTGTTTCCTATTTCCTCTGTGTTTCCTATTTCCTGGACATTCCTGAAGGGGTCACGAGTTATGATTAATCTTCAAGTAGAATCATCCCGCTACAAACTTACTAGCCATTGGGATATTCGCCTACGTTTTGCTGTTATGAGTTCTTCCGCCTCAGGAAAATCCCAGAAGAGACTTTAAGCGTTTTCCTCCAGCAGTCTTTGTAAGGTAAATTATTGGAAATCAAAGAATAATAGGCGAAGCTCACAGTCCAACGACCGTGCTCCGCTGCCCTTCTTGAACGATGTGGTGACAAAGTAGATATTAGTTATTGCGCTCTAATGCTACCAGTTGGCAGCAAGTGAGAGGAAATACGGGCAAGAAAGAAACATCCTTAGACCTCAATCCCAATGTTTCCAATGTATGCACGCAGAGAACAACAGGTATTTTACTGTTAAAAAAAATACTAAGCTGTGGAGAGGTACAAAATTTTTGCGTGGGAATGTAGTGTCGAATAATTGAATTCAGATTCTAGTTTTCCCCGTATTTTAGGAGATGATTACTTCTTCCTCATAAAGAGTGTGTTAAAATGTGGTGAACACGTGAGTATAGAATCAATGTATATACTGCATCGAAATACGACCATTAACCTGCTGTTAAACCAGATATAATTTGTGATTACAACACACACACAATGTTTCTTTCGGATTGAAAGTGAAAGTGAAGTTAATTTATTCCTCATTGAGTTAATTTACTCTTCATTTCATGACATATTTACTGTTACTGATCCAGGACAAGGTCCCTCTCCTTAATTTATCATTCTCTTTTATTTTCCATTCGCCACATCCACGCCCGTTTAACCCCTGCAGGCAAACTTTTTTGTTTTGTCTATTTTTAATAGACTATTTTTAGGGCAGTTTTAGTTTCACAGCAAAACTGAGCAGAAAGTATAGAGTTCTCATATACCTCCTCTCCTCCACACTCACAGCCTGCCCCACTATCAGCGCTCCTCACCAGACTGATACATTTGTTATAACTGATCAACCTACATTGACACATCACTGTCACCCAAAAACCATAGTTTACACTGGGGTTCACTCTTGATGTTGTACATTCTAGAGGTTTGGGCAATGTAAAATGACATGTATCCACCCATACGGAACAGTTTCTCACCCCTAAAAATCCTCTGTGCTCCACCTATTTATTCTTCCTATCCTCTAACCCCTGGCACCACTAGTCTTTTTATTGTCTCCATAGTTTTGCTTTCTCCAGAATGTCATATAGTTAGAATCATACAATCTTTTTAGATTTGCTTTTTTCAGCTAATAATGTATACATTTAAGTTTCCTCCATGTTTTTTAATGGCTTGATAGTTCTTTTTAGCGCTGAGTAATATTCGATTGTCTGGATATACCACAGTTTATTTTTCCATTCACCTCATCTTGGTTGTTTCCAAGTTTCGGTGATTAAACATCTTGGTGCAGGTTTTTGTGTGGAGATTTTCAACTTTTTTGTGTGTGGAAATTTTCAACTTACTTGGGTAAAGTATACCAAGGACAGTGATTGCTGGATCATATGGTAAGAGTAGGTTTAGTTTTGTAATAAATGCCAAACTGTCTTCCAAACTGGTTGTACCATTTTGCATTCCTGCCAGCAATGAATGAGACTTCCTATTGCTCCACATTCTCCCAACATTTGGTGTTGTCAATGTGTTGGGTTCTCACTATTCTAACAAATGTGTAGTGGTATCTCCTTGTTCTTTTAATTTGCAATTCCTTAATACATATGATGGTGAGCATCTTTTCATATGCTTATTTGCCATCCTTCATCCATATGTTATCTTTGGTGTGGGTGTCTGTTCAAATCGTTTTGCCCGCTTTTTTTTTTTTTTTTTTTTTTTTTTTGAGGCAGGGTCTCCCTATGTTGCCCAGGCTGGTCTAGAACTCCTGGGCTCACGTGATCCTCCTGCCTCAGCCTACCAAGTAGCAGACATTACAGTAGCACACACCTCACCCAGGTTCTTTTGCCCATTTTTAAATTGGGTTGTTTGTTTCCTTAGTGTTGAGTTGTAAGTGTTCTTGGTGTATTTTAGATAATAATCCTTTATCAGATGTCTTTTGCAATTATTTTCTCCCAATCTGCAGTTTATCTTTTCATTCTCTTGATAGTATCTTTTGCAGAGCTGAAGTTTTTAATTTTAATGAAGTTCAGCTTATCAATTACTTCTTTCATGGATTATAACTTTAGTGTTATAGCTAAAGAGTCATAACCAAGCCCAGTCTTCTTGATTTTCTCTTATGTTTTCCTCAATGAATTTTATAGTTTTGTGTTTTATATTTTGTTCAATGGTCATTTAGAGTTAATTCTTGTGAAGGATATAAAGTCCTTCTTTAGATTTTTTTTTTTTTTTTGCTTTTTTTTTTGCATGTGGGTATACAGTTGTTACAGCACCAAAGATCAGTTGACTGGATTTATGTATGTCTATTTCTGACTTCTCTATTCTCTTCATTGATCTGTTTCTTTTCTGATACCATATTATCTTGATTAGTGTAGTTTTATAGTAAGTTTTGAGGTTGAATATGACAGGTCTCCAACTTTGTTTTTCTACATCAATATTGTGTTGGGTATTCTAGATCTTTTGCCTCTATTTAAACTTTAAAATCAGTTTGTCGATATCCACATAACAACTTGCTGGGATTGATTGGGATTGTGTTGAATCTATAGAGCAAGTTGGGAAGAATTGACATCTTGACACGTGACATCTTGATAATAAGTATTACTATCCATGAACATGGAATATCTCCTTTTATTTCATTTTTGATTTCTTTCATCAGAGTTTTGTAGTTTTCCTCATGTACATCTTGTGCATATTTTGTTAATTTTATCCCTAACAAAAAGAAGTTTTAAATTTAAGTATTTCACTTTTTCAGGTGCTCATGTAATGATATTGTGTTTTTAATTTCAAATTCTACTTGTTCATTGCTGGTATTAGGAGAGCAACTGATTTTTGTATACTGATTTTATATCCTACAACCTGCCAACTATGGGACCTGTTACCAGAAAGAGAGGAGAGTAGGTAAAACCCAAGTGGTCCTAGCTGAGAGGGAAGTTAAGTTCCACTAACCACCTTGCTGAGAAGTATACTCCTGAGTAAAAGGCAGGTCATATACAGTAAGAACTTAGTTTATGTAAAATTAAGATAGTTAAAATATCTAAACTGTGGTATTACTAAATGAATATGCTCAAGAAAATTAATACTCTAAGCCACTCTTTTCTAAAATGTACTTTTCAAGTATGTGTTGGCTCATATTCTTAAAACAGATTTGCCCATGAAGCATGAGCAAAGGTAGAGGGAACTGGGTGGTAGGCAGGGGCTCTTAAAGAGAATAGTGAATTCGTTCATATTGATAAACTGTAATTAACTGCTTAAAATAGATGAGTTAAAAAATTGCATAGTTTATCCTAGTTATCTTGATGGGATGTTTCCAACATATATTTTATGATTTATTTCAAGAGGAAATTAAGCAAAAATCATTTGCAATTCATGATAAGAGCAATTTATCATATTAAGGTTGAGGTCATTACTTGAAGGTTAATGTAGGATATTTAACAACAAAAGATTGAGGTCAGCTCTGAACCATAACTACCCAGGTTTTGAAAAGTATAAGATTGAATTTATTGGTTTTGCCTTTTTCTGCTCCTTGCTGTCAACTAACCCTCACCAAACTATCAATTCCATATAGCAAACCTGTACTCAATACCTCCACCAGGCAAAAAAATAATTCCTAATCTCAGCAAGTTTACAGGTAGTAGAGGACACAAATATGTAAATTGGCAAAGTCTGAGAACAAAAGAGAATTATAGAATTATAACACCTAAAAAGTGTAAGTGTAGCACAGAGGAATTAATTCTATAGCAAAGTGGAGGTCAGCTTGGTTTTGAATGATAAACAGGAATTTCCTATTGAAAAGAAATGGCATTCTAGGTAGAGGGAAAAGCACAAGCAAAGGTAGAGGAAACTGGGAGTTCGGCTGTGGTCAGAAGAGGAAGGGCTTTGTATGCCATGAAGGTGTTGATGGTTTAGTCAGGAGCATTAAGCACAAGGAGCAGAGGGCAGTGCAGAGAATGAAATGGAGGTGGAGAATAAAGGGTAAGAACCAGTAAAAAAAAATTCCTGAAATTGTTCAGATAAAGGTAGTGCTTGAAAAGAGAAGCAGCAGAGATGAATAAAGATAGTAAAGTTTTTCTTTAAGAAAATGATGACTTGGTGATTTACTGGCTATATGGCAATAAAAAAAACAGTAGACCATAGGAGTCTTTAGTTTTCTGATTGCTGGTCATTCCACTTTAAGGAAGTCAAAATCTAGTTTTCAATATTGATCTTGCTCATGAAATTGCAAATTAGTGTTTCTAAAGAAGATTCTATTTTTCTTTGGACTGTCCACATATGTTAACATGGATCAAAGTTAATTTATGACTACAGAAAGTAGGACATATAAAACAGAAATAATGATGAAGACAACTTGAATCTGGAGTGTTAAAAAGATCTTTGCAAATTAGAGACTTTAATGATTTGTATTCTGTACATAGTAGACCATTGGTAGGGTACATAGTAGACCACCTATCTTTCAAACTAGGTGAATTCACTCACCATACATTCAGTCATTTTTCCCACCCTGACACAGGTAAACAGAATGCAAAAGATCACTCTGTTCTCATTTTTAGCCAGAGGATACATATCCTGCTATATAAACTCAAATGAAAACGTAAGCAAAAAGAAAAATTGTAATTCGCACTGAATCATGAAAGTTTAATATTCCCACAGAATATTAAAAGACAAAGACAAAATTATAGTGAGACAAAATTATAGTGAGCAAAAACATTACTTTCTAAAGACTACACCACCTTAAACACAACTTTGACATTCCCTTTTCTATAATCTAATTTCCTTTTTTCTTTCAAAAGATGGAAAAATAATCTGCACAAACCTCTACAGGAAGACGATGGCGAGGACACCATCTACGTTCCCATCCCACAGGGCGTCTGGAAAGTTCCATCTCCCACTTCTCTGCATCCAGAACTTAAAGATGGTTCAAGTCCGGGTTCAGAGTCCACTTCAAGACACCGAGGTCCCCTTTCCGCACGCTGTTCCCAGTGCCAGAAGTGCTGAGCTCGCCGTGCAGTCCCTGCCTTTGGCCTCAGGTCTTTCTCCACCTGATTTCAGTTACCCAGGGCGTCCGACCCTGGCTACCCGGGTTCCTGCGGCCCGGGGCGGCAGGTGGGCCCGTCTCGGCCGCGCCGTCGGGCCAGTCCGGCGGGACCTGACGGCGCCTGGCAAAGGCCCACGCGGCCCCGTAGGGCCCACTGACGCCGTTCAACCCCAAACCCCACCATCCTCCTCAGCTCCCCTCCGACGTGAGGATGTGTGGGACGGGGCTACAGTGGATCAAGAGTGAAAATAGTAACCCGAATCAACAGCGCGTCCGCCACGCTCGCCGCCGCAAATGCCACACACTGCATGGACTGGAGGCGGGAAAGGCCCGGGTGTCCACTCAAAGGTAACGAGGTCAGGAGTCGCTCCTCTAAGTCGCGTGAAGCGACGAGGCCACGCCTACGTAACTACAGACGCTCCTCATTGGACCAACTCTCCCCGCTAACGGTTGTCCACGCCGCCTACTATTTCCCTGGGACCAACGTCGAAAATTGCCCTCGTGCCCGCGCCCAGAGCACCGCGCCTGCGCACAGTCTCCAGCGGTAGACTGAGGAGCTGTCAGTGCGCATGATCCACCCTTGATCTCTGCCCCGCTGATTTTTGAACGCGGTTTCTGAAGCCTCATGGCGTGCGCATGCGTGCCTATGGTAGCTGCCTCTGTCTCCATAAAAGCGAGAAGCGGCGGGTATTTGCTGCGGGGCCTGCCGGAAGTCGCTCTGCTCTCTCTCTTCCGCGCTGCACTGGCGGAAACTCAAGACCTTGAAAAGAGGTTCCGGGGCTGGGTTGGCTTGGCCTGGCTGCAGGCGGCAGAATGGAGACTGAGGACGCGGGACTGAGCTGCCGCCCGACCTTGGCCTCTTCCTGGGATGCCGAACGCGGGGCCCTGACCCAGAGTCTCCTTCTCACCCAGGCTGGTCTCGGCGCCCGCGACTTCGACTGCGAAGAGCTGCTGGCGCCGCCTGCTTCGGGGTGCGCCGGGCTGGGGTTGCTGCGCCGGGTGACAGACACGCTCCTGGGGGAGGCAGGGCCCGCGACGGGGTGGGTCTGTGCCCGGGGTCCGGGAGCAGAACTGGTGCAGGCTCTGTGCGGGGAAGCGGCGGCTGGAGGAGTCGAGGACTGGGGTGGGCCGGGGACAGAGGGTGGGGGCCCGGTGTGGGCCGGTGGGTGGGGGTCCGGCCGGGAAGTGGCCGGGGCTCCGGGGGCGCAGGAGAGCGGGGAAGGTGACCTGGACTCTCGGAATTTCATAAACATGCCCCTATGTCAGGCGTGATAGCTTGTCAGTTCTGTCAAAATCAATCCGCCCATCTCCCCGGGAGCAAATAAGCCACCTGTCGACCCAAACTGGCTTTTTGGAAAGTCCAACTGTAGAGGAGTGCTGTCAACTTAAGTTTGGAAAAGATGCACTCTCGTCTTTTGTTGTATTCTGTTCCCCACTCCTGTGCACACAATAGCTGTCCAGTAAATGTATTTAATTATCTGAGACTCGGTCACAGGGATTGAGTAGAATGTGATTGAGGGAAATCCATGGAGGGGAAAGCCCTGATGTCTGACGCCTCCCTTTTTTTATAAATTCTGTATTGAGCATTTGTGGGTGCTTGGACTCCAAGGGCAGGTGGAAGTGAGTTAGAAGAAACAGGCACGGCCTAATAAGTGAGTTTTGAGCTGCGTTCAGAGAAGTCTCTACTGTGTAATGTTTTTACCAATTTTGTTCTCAGGCAGGATCTGGTGATTTTGAAGAGAAGCCTGAACAGCCAAGATGAAAGCCCCTGCTTCCTCTACCTGAGGTGTGACCCTGCCGGAGGTGGAGAAATCGTTTCTGTGGGCATTCTCAGTTCTGCAAGAAACATGGAAGTATACTTAGGAGAGGAGTACTGTGGAACCAGTCGGGGCAAGAATGTTGGTACTGTCCTGGATGACAGGTTTGTGACTTGTACAAGTCAAAGTATACTTCTGAAGCAATGTTTTTATTTTCCCACAGCCTTTGTGGTGTTTATTGATTATCTGATGTGGATGCCATACGTTAGGGGAGAAAAGGTAGAAACGAAAAAAAGAAAAAGGTTTTTATTTATTTATTCAAAGAAGGCATAGAAGGTTAAACCACTAAAGGATCTTATGTATAGGCATTCTAGATCAAGATCTAGATTGTTTCGTTTTGTTTTTTTGAGACAGAGTCTTTCTCTGTCACCCCAGGTAGAGTGCAGTAGCTTGCTCATAGTTCAGCAGTGGAGCCTCAAACTCCTTGGCTCAAGCTATCCTCCTACCTTAGCCTCCCAAAGTACTGGATTACCATGCTGGGCCACTAGTTATTTTTGTAAATATGGAAATTTAGAACTAATAAGAGTGAAGGCACATTGGTAGGAGGTCAGAGCTAGCTAGTGGAAGAGTTTTATTAGAATGAAATTTTGGTGTTTCTTGGGTCTCTCATTTAACTCACAGGGGTTTGTTTTCCACAAGTTAATTTGGCAGTTAATCTGGAACTTTGAGCACATTTTCTTCTTGGAAGCCTGTTAAAATGGTGCAGGAATCTTAAACTGTGTTACATCAGCCTGTTTATTAACCTGTAATGCAACTTACAATTTGTAATTTTTTAAAAAATATTCTTCCCCAGTCTGTCTTTAACCCAAAATATGAATCCTGCATGTTGGAAATAATTACTGTGTTTATTTAGTTTTTTTGTTGTTGGATTTTTTTTTTTTTTTTTGAGACAGAGTCTCACTCTCTTGCCTGGGCTACATACAGTGCCATGGCAAATCAGCCTAGCTCACAGCAACCTCAAACTCCTGGGCTCAAGCTATCCTCCTGCCTCAGCCTCCTGGGTAGCTGGAACTACAGGCATGTGTCACTATGTCCGGCTAATTTTTTCTATTGTTAGTTGTTTGGCTAATTTCTTTCTATTTTTAGTAGAGACAGGGTCTTGCTCTTGCTCAGGCTGGTCTCAAACTCCTGAGCTCAAGCAATCCTCCCACCTCAGCCTCCCGGAGTGCTAGGATTACAGGCGTGAGCCACTGTACCTGGCCTATTTATTGGGTTTTAAAATATTCTCTATAATACACGATTATATATATGTTATATAATTTAATTGTGTCATTTAGCTAGTAAGTGGTAGATGTAATCCTTACAGACAGTGTAATTCAGGAAAGAGCTCCTACTCTTTCTGTCTCACCATGAAAACTGAATCTCAGGATTATCCTGGAAACATTTATTTTCAATGCAAGTATTAAAAGTGATACTGTATGGAAATTTAAAAAAACCCTTTTTTATTTTTAGTGAACATGACAAAATTATTTTGTACAAAAAATATCTAAAATTGGAGTCCTCTACACATGCTTGTCAAATAAAGGTAAGTCAGCAGTAAATTTTAAATAATTTGACAACTAAGTTGTTTTTGTATTGTATATACTTATTTTCTGTTGGTTTGGTGATATAATTAGTTGAACTTGGTTTCTAATTTTAGTTGAGAAACAGTAAACATGCAAAAAATTACTTTTCTACAAAACAATCAACCCTTTTTAACATTGAAATCTTTAAAATTTGACTATTAGCTATGGAAAATGTATTGTTAACGCAACATGACTGTATTTTGAAACCTTGGGAAACTAAGATAAAAGACATTTTTTTCATCTTTATATAAAACTGTGGTACCAAAAAAATCACAATCAGTTTTGGCCCTATTTATCAATCAAGAATGGAATTAGAAAAGTTTTAGGCAAGGAACCAAAAAGTTAATGGGATTGGACTATTGTCTTCAGTATGAAAAATATTGTTAAGATGAACATTAATGATATCATCAGCATCTAGGGATAGGGTACTGAGTTGAGAATCTTAAGTCCTGAATATTCAGTTCCGTAGCTAAGTAATGGACTACACTTTGGTAGGTTTCTTCATCTGATTAGATCTACCTCATGGGTAAAAATTGGGGGTCTTAAGAAAATTAATTCTTAGACTCGTTTTATCTCTAAAATTCTGTACTTATTATCATTACTGATAGAAGAAAATGAGACTTTTTTTTTTTTTTTTTATGTGCTAGCATCACTGTCCAAAAATTTTTATAATAAGAAAAAATAAGTCATTTTCATAGCAGGCAGATAGCAAACTCATAGAACTGATTATTCTAAGATGTTGTTTTGGGTAATGTATTAAGTTTTTAAACCCATTTAAATAAAGTGATTCATTTTCATTCATTCAACAAATATTTGAGTGCCTCTTAATGTCAGATACTATAGGGGGCACACAGGTCCATATGTCACACAAAGACATAGACTTGTATTGACCTACGTCTTTGTGTGACATACGGATCTGTGTGTCTCTGAAGGTGTTTTTTGTAACTGTTCTCTGGAAACACATGGGAGCATAAAGCGTTGTTTTGTTCAGGGAACCTCTAGGGTATGTGTGAAAGTTTGTCCTGGGGCGGTAGTTTATGAAATTTAAAAAGAAATTGTTTGAAATAAAAAAAAAAAAAAAGAAATTGTTACTGATACAAATTTTTGAGCACTTACTAAGTGGTAGGATCTGGAAATTTTAACACATGATCCTCACAAAACCCATGTGAGATCATTGTTATTTTATCCTCTTTCATTTTATTCCTCACTCAGGTTTAGCAGTTGCCCAGGGTCATGCAGGTTTTAAGTACCAGTCATAATTTAAACCCAGATTTGTCTGATTCTAAAGCCTGTTCCCTTTCCATCTTGCTAATCTTTTGTCAGTACCACACATGGAATGCCTCATGGTTCAGAAATATGGACAGAACTAGGTGCAGTGGCTCATGCCTCTAATCTTGAGGCAGGAGGATCTCTTGAGGTCAGGAGTTCAAGACCAGTCAGGACAACATAGCAAGATTCCGTCTCTAAAAAAAAAACTTTTATTTTATTTTTTTAATTAGCTAGACAACTGGGACTATAGCAACTGGCACACCTGTAGTCCCAGCTGCTCTGGAGGCTCAGGTGGGAGGATCAGTTGAGCCCTGGAGTTCGAGACTGCAGTAAGTTGTGATTGCTACACTGCACTCCAGCCTGGGTGACAGCAAGACCTCATCTCTAAAAAAAAAAAGTGAAAAAAAGAAATGGACAGCATAAAGCATTAGAAAAACTACTGGGATAGAAGCCAGAAGACCTGGGTTCCAAGTCTGACCTTTGGTAATTAAGTATTCTTTGACAAGTTAGAAAATCACCCTTAAACTTATCTTTTTAATGTATAATCCAGCAAGGTATTATAGATCATCTCAACATTCTCTAACAGTTGTAAATTCTGAAAGACCAAACTGTATTTAGTATTTCAGTAAACACATAGAATGATCTTCTGGACAGCCTTCTGTTGTGTTAAATAATATGATGGCAGGTTGTGGTATGTTAAGGTCTCAAATTAGTATACAGTAGTCCCTCTTTATCCACAATTTTACTTTCCATGGTTTTAGTTACCTGCAGTGGACCGCGGTCTAAAAATATTAAATGGAAAATTCCAAAAATAAGCAATTTGTGAGTTTTAAATTGTACTCTGAGCAGTGTGATGAAATCTCATGTCATCCTGCTCCATCCTGCCATTGACATGAATTGTCCCTTTGTCTAGCATATTCATAGTATATATGCTACTGCTTGTTAGTTACTTGATAGCCATATGTAACATCAGAAGGTCAGTAGCATCCTTACGCTAAGTCACAATGCTTATGTCATTCACCTCATTTCATCTCATTAGGTAGGCATTTTATAATCTCACATCATCATCATCAGAAAGGTGAGTACAATACAATAAGATATTTCAAGAGAGAAAGACTATACTTATGTAATTTTTATTAAAGTGTATTATCCTTATTCTATTTTATTGTTGTTAATCTCTTACTGTGGCTAGTTTATAAGTTTTTAAGTATAACTTTATCATGGGCATGTATGTATATATAGGAAAAAACATAGTATATATAGTACATACAGGGTTCGGTACTATCTGCAGTTTCAGGCATCTATTGAAGGTCTTGGAAGATATCCCCCAACAGATAAAGGGGGACTACTGTGGTTTATTTTTAATTATTTGAAGGAATTAACAAATTAAGTTAATTAAGTAAAACTTTATTTAATTCACCATTTGTTATTTTACATGTAATATAGTTTCTGAAGTACTTTTATTTAAATAGTTCATCTGAGCCTCAGTAAATTGGAATTTTTTCTGACTATGATTATTCTAGAGAACAATTAAAATACACTTGAAGGTAATTTTTAGATTCTTGAATACTTAACTCTTTTTATTTTTTGAGACAGAATCTTACTTTGTTGCCCAGGCTAGAGTGCCATGGCGTCAGCCTAACTCACAGCAACCTCAAACTCCTGGGTCAAGCGATCCTCCTGCCTCAGCCTCCCAGGTAGCTGGGACTACAGGCATGTGCCACCGTGCCTAGCTAATTTTTTCTATTTTTAGTTGTTTGGCTAATTTCTTTCTATTAGTAGAGACGAGGTCTTGCTCTTGCTCAGGCTGGTCTTGAACTCCTGAGCTCAAACAGATCGACTCGCCTCGGCCTCTCAGAGTGCTAGGATAACAGGCGTGAGCTACCACGCCTGGCCAATACTTCATTCTTATTTAGGTAATACCAAGAAGTGACCTTAAATGATGATTGTTTTTAATATCATTACTATTTTCTGGAACTCTTTCGTTTTATAATAGTTGCTGTCCTTTGGTGAAAAGCAGTGTGTATTCATCAGTAAAGTTGTGGTACACATGAGATCGGTTTTGGCAAATTCGTCAAAAAACTCTCCTGCTCTAGGATCAAGGATAGACCTTGACAAGGTCCAAAGCATAATGGAGTCCATGGGATCAAAGTTATCACCTGGAGCTCAGCAACTGATGAATATGGTTAGATTCCAGCAGCAGGTAAGTAGAATGGATTTCTTTCTGGATATCATTAAAAATTTCAAAATAGTGGCTTTTAACAAGAAAATGTAGTGACTTAAATTTTTTTTTAATTTTTATTGATTTAACTGTTACCTTTATTTAGTTTTGTAAAAGTCACATTTTTATAGATTTACCCTCCTACAAAATGTTTTGACTACAGAACAAACAGATCTTCAGATCTTCACACTTTTTCATGAATTTATTCACTCATTCCTTCAGCAAGTATTTATTAAGCACCTTCACAGTGTACATGGCACTGTTTTGAACACTTTTGCGGTTGCAGTGATGATCGGTTAGTCTATAGCCTGTCTTTAAAGATTTTTACAGTCTAGAGCACGTAAGTAGGGAGTGATGAGGTAGAGTAGGAAAGGCTACTAAAGGAAGTGGCAGTTTATTTAGACCTTTGAAGATGGGTGGGATTAGGCAAGTAAATCTGGAGGGAGGCCATTTCAGACAAAGAAAATGAGCCGGATAAAATCTTACATGCTAGAGGAACTGGATATAACTGGGAAATGAATAATAGTTCATTTCTCTGGAGCAAAGAAGTAATGGGAAGTTTATAGTAGATTTGAGTTAGAACATAGCTTTGAATGCTATTTTAAAGTTGTGCATGTTTTTGTCCTATGTTTCAAGAAATTTTATTCCACTGTTTTGTATAAGGTGAATCAAGAAAATAAGACTAGAAGAAATAAACCAGCTATACATTGTTTCCCTCGACCAGATGAGAGTTAATGAGGGTCTAAGATTGGACATAGTAACATGATGCTGGATCATGTTACTAAAATAGTAGAGCCATTGGGACTTGACAACTAACTTTATATTGGAGGAGAAAAGTAGAATCAAACACGAAATTGAGGTTTTGAGGATGGCAATATCAGTAATATGAATGCAACACTTGGGAAAAGGAATTTTATTTTGGGAATATTGAGTTTTAGTTGTACATAAGAAATTAGCTGGAAGGATGTTGCAGGCATTTGGAGACAGGATTGGCAGAAGTGAAGTGAACCTTCAGTGGCTGAAAGAGGGGTTTAGGGGTGTACTCACAGTAGCTAACAGAGAACGTGGTGAAGAGAGAGACAAAGCAAGGAAAAAAGACCTTAGAGAGTTACTGCATTTGGTAAGGATACAAGGAGAGGAAAAGGGAACCAGAAGAGTAGAAGACAGCAGTGTGATAAAGTAGCAAGAGAAAGGATTTGATGTCAGGCTAAGCAACTTCAAGTTCTTGTGCTGTCCCTTGTTCATCCTTTTGGCAAGTTGATTCGTGTATTTTTTCAATGTGCATTCTTCATGTACGTAATCTAAATGTAACCTGCAAAGGTCATAGTATTCATGTGAAAATTTAAATAATGCAAGTAAAGAATGTGTAAATATTGTGAGGTTTACAAATTCTAAGTTAGTACTTGTGTTGGAGTATGGGCAGACTTAAGAGAACCAGGAGAGCTGAAGACTGGGGAAACCACAGAAGGGAGGGTTTGAAAAAAGAAAGAAATTGTACTTTCTTTCCTCCTCCACCATTCTCTCACCTGGATGCCTCAGGAGGTTCCTGTCTGGTCTCCTTCTGCTACCGTGCACCCAGAATGATCTGAAAGAGTGAAGAGATCTCATCTTGCCCTTCTGTAGACCCCACTGCTGCTGCTTCCCATCACGCTTAGAATTAATCTCGATTCCTTACCCTGACTTCTGAGATGTGGGTCCTGCTTGCCTCCTCAGCCTCATCTCCTGCCACATTTCCTTGGGCACCTTGCTCCAGACATGATATGTGTATTCCCCAAATGTCCAAATGTATTCCTTCCTCAGGAACTTTGTACTTGTAACTGTTCCTTGTGATATTTTTGTGTCTGCATTTTATTTTATTATTCAGATCTCATTTTAATGTTACATCCATAATGTGACCTTTCCCAGCCATTGAGATTAAAGTAGCATGCACCTCCAGATCTATATCATAGTTCATCAGTGCCCTTCTGACCAGTTTGTTTTTTATGTGTTGGTGGCTTGTTAGTCTCACTAACGTATTAACTTCATGCACACAGAGACTCGTCTGTCTTGTTTATGGATCCAAGTACCTATATGCATACAGTCATGCCTCGATTTACGATTGGGATGTGTTTTGAGATATGCATCCTTACATGATTTTGTTGCTGTGCAAACATCAGAGAGTGTACTTTCACAAACATAGATGGTATAGCCCACCTTATGTTATATGGTATAGCCTATTGCTCCTAGGCTACAGACCTGTACAGCATGTTACTCTATTGAATGCTATAGGTAGTTGTATAAAACAGTGGTATTTGTGTATCTAAACATTATCTAAACATAAAAAAGGTACAGTAAAATGATGGGTGTGTTGACTTGTGCATGTAATCCAAGCTACTCAGGAGGCTGAGGCAGAAGGATTGCTTGAAGCCAAGGAGTTTGAGAACATTCTGGTTCACATGGTGAGACCTCAATATCTAAGACAAAAAATTTAAATTTAAAAAGAGGTACAGTAAAAATATGATATGAAAGATTTAAAATGGTGCAACTGTATAGGGCACTTAGCATGAATGGAGCTTTCAGGATTGCTATTTGCTCTGGGTAAGTCAGTAAGCTCTGAGTGAATGTGAAGGCCTAGGAGATTACTATAGGCTCTATAAACACTGTTCACTTAGGCTATGCTAAATTTATAAAAGCATAATTTTCTTTCTTCAATAATAAATTAACCTTGGCTTATTATAACTTTTTAACTTTGTAAACTTAAATTTTTTAAACTTTTTGACGCTTTTGTAATAACACTGAACTTACACATTGTATAGCTGTACGAAGATATTTTATTTCTTTATCTCCTGGTTCTTTAAGCATTTTTCTATTTTTGAAGTTTTTAGTATTTTTTTACTTTTTAAATGTTTTTGTTAAAAACGAAGACACAAACACATACATTAGCCTAGACCCACATATAGTAGTAATCATCAATATCACTATTTTCCACCTTTACATCTTATCCCACTGGAAGATCTTGAGGGGTGATAACATGCATGGAGCTGTCATCTATGATAATAATGCCTTCCTCTGGAATACCTCTTGAAGGATCTGCCTGAGGCACTTTTACAGTTTTTATATATCTATATGCGTAGAAGGAATATATTCTAAAATAATGATTAATGGTATAATAAATAAACAAATCAGTACTATAGTCATCTATTATCATTATCAAGTATTATGTACTATACATAATTGTATGTAGACTTTTATGTGACCAGCAGTGCAATAAGTTAACTTACACTGAGCATCACTACATACATGTGAATAATGCGTTATGCCATGACACCACTGGCTGATAGGAATTAATTCAGCTTCATTATAATCTTAGGGGACCACCATTGTATATGGGGTCCATTGTTGACCTGAATGTCATCGTGTGGTACATGACTATATGTGCCTATCAGATTTATAAACTAAATATTTCTTGGAGATCTTCAGGAGGTAGTTTGAATGGTGATGAGATGTCAACCAGATTATGAGGGATTAGGTAGGAACTGGGTATTGGGATGTGGAGTTAGTGATTGCAAATGGGTGTTTTCAAGAAGTTTAGATTACAAGAAAAAATTAGAAGATAGTTGTGTAAAGGGATAGTGAAAGAATTTCTCAGGCTTATGTGATGAGAGCTTTTTTAATAGTTTAGGGCAGTGATTTTTCCGGTGTGATCCATAGAACACCTGTGTCAAAATCCTTTGGAATGGCTTCAAAATGCTTATTTCTGGACCTCATTTACTACCTACTCAATCTCAGAGGGTAGAGTCTGGGAATCAGTATGTTAAACACTCATACCTAGGTGAGTCTGTATACTTTGTCGTTTGATAATAACTTTTAGTGGAATATTTTAAAAAGGAAGAAATTTTTTGTGAAATGATTTTGGAATGATTAGTTAACTATAACTAACTTAGTGATTTCCATCTTTTAGAAACTTGATTTTGGGAAAAAAATGAAATTATGATAAAATGAAATTATATAGCAAATATTTATTTTGGCTGTATCTTTAAATTTTAATATGGTTTTATTCTATAAAAAGTTTTCATTGCCATGAATTTTAATCAATACAGAGAGTTAGTAAAAAATTAAAGTGTTTTCTCAGCTGTCATTCTGTTCCCCAGAGGTAGCCACAGGTAACAGTTTGACATATATCGTTCTAGATTTTTTATGCATATAGAAACACACATAAGGCTGCACCCCCACCCCCTAATCCCCAGCCAACACTTATGGGTAAGTACTGTAACTTGCTTTCTTCCCACCACTAATGCAGGGACATTTGGGGGACACCCTGGAGAAGAAAGAAGGTGATCCAGTTCAATGTACTTTTAAACATGTTAATGAAAGACTTCCTTTCTAGCAAGAAAGTCTTTAGCTGAAAAATTCCTATCAGTTAGTGATGTCATAGCACAATGCATCACTCACATGTATTTTGATTCTCTAGGATTGCTTATTGTTAACATACTAGGCCTCTGTGGATTTCTAAGGCATGGAAAAGGTCATGAAAACCATTTAAATATTTGAGCATAAAATGGGGAAGTTTTATGACCCAAACAGCTCCTGAGTACGTGGTGTGATCACACTCATTGTCTAGGCAGAGCTTGTCCTGGGGAAAAGGAAGCACCTGGGGACCTGTGTTAGAAGTTTTGATCTCTCCCTGCTTCACCTGTGCCGTGGCACTACTTGTTTTCTTGAAAGTTTTATTAAAGTTTGACACTCTCTATGCAGTCCAAACCTTCATGATATGTCAATAAATATTAGAGTATTTCTTATTTCTTTGTAGTTCAGATTGCTGACTTTGATTTGTTTTTGCTTTAGCAATTTAGAATAATTGAATAGGAATTCCATATCAAAGTATATAGTTGTCACTTAATGTTATTTGAATGAAAGGATTTGGCCCATTTTCTCAAAAAAAACCAGTCAATTGTTCAGGAGTCAATATTCTTTTTCTTTTTTTTGAGACAGAGTCTTGCTCTGTTGCCTGAGCTAGAGTGCAGTGGCATCAGCCTAGCTCACAGCAACCTCGAACTCCTGGGCTCAAGTGATCCTCCTGCCTCAGCCTCCTGAGTAGCTGGGACTACAGGTATACACCACCACACCCAGCTAATTTTTTCTATTTTTAGTAGAGATGGGGTCTCACTCTTGCTCAGGCTGGTCTTGAACTCCTGAGCTTAAGCGATTCTCCCGCCTTGGCCTCTCAGAGTGCTAGGATTACAGGTGTGAGCAAGCACGCCCGGGTGTTAATACTCTTTTTTTTTCTCCTTCAAAATGGCCTTATTTATTTATTTTTTCTGATTATTAAAGGTGATACTGTTTGAATATTTTATAATTAAAAAAACAAAAAGTATAGAAAAGTCATACTTTCATAACTCGTATAATATATTCAGATAAACTATGAATTTTTAGAAATCTCTGTATACAACATGTGTAGTTTATATACACACATACATATATAGCTCTTTACATATGTGACTATATGGACACAATTCTATCTAAATGCTTTCATGTTGTATTATGTTGCTCAGTAACATTTTTCACTTAAAAGGATATCATAGGCCTCTTACTAAGCAATAAATACATTTTTCTGTGATTTTTATGAATATTCTGTTATACAGTCAGTTTTCTATTCATGAATATTTAAGTTTCTCCAAATTTTTTTGACAGCATGCATAGTGGTACACAGAGTGAACTTGGACATCTATTTTTGCATACTTGTTCATGTATCTTTTTAGGATAAATTTCTTGAGTGGAATTATTCTAGCAAAGGGTAGGCTTTTTAAATTATTTAATATGTATTTAACCATCTACTTTCAAAAGGATTTGATGTGGCTTACAAAACAATCTATTCCAGGATAGGTCAAAATAAAAATTGAAAAAGCTCATATAAAAAGTAGAGGAATAGCAACCAGACACCTGGGCTTTGTTCGTTTCCTATGGTGGCATGTACTTCCCTGTGAATTTTTTGATATTTAATCTAAAGAGAAAAAAAATCACCTAAAGAGCTCACATCTCAGAAAATATGACTTTTTTTCATTGTGGTAAGAACACTTAACATGAGATATACCCTCTTAACAAATTTTTGTTAACATGAAACATAAGGTACAATGTGATTTTTTTTTATTTTTATTTTTTGAGACAGTGTATCACTTTGTTGCCTGGGCTAGCGTGCCATGGAGTAAGCCTAGCTCACAGCAACCTCAAACCGAGTTGCTGGGACTACAGGCATGCGCCACCATGCCCAGCTAATTTTTTCTATATATTTTTAGTTGTCCAATTAATTTCTTTCTATTTTTAGTAGAGACGGGGTCTTGTTCTTGTTCAGGCTGGTTTCGGACACCTGACCTTGAGCAATCCACCCATCTCGGCTTCCCAGAGTGCTAGGATTCACCCAGCCACAATGTGATATTAATACCTTGATATTAATTGAATGTCAACTTTATATTTCCCCTTTTTCCTCAGCCTCTGGCAACTACCATTCTACTCTCTGTTTCTATGAGTTTGACTATTTTAGATACCTCATGTTAGTGAAGTCATGCATTATTTCTTCTGTGACTGGCGTTTTTGACTTAGTGTGATGTCATTCATTCAGATCCACCTTTTTAAAGGCTGAATAGTATTTCATTGTATGTATATACCATATTTTCTTTATCAGTACCATCTGTTAATGGACATTTAGGTTGTTTTTGTGTCTTGGCTATCGTGAATAGTGCTGCAGTGAACATGGAAGTGCAGATGTCTCTTTTGAGATCCTGACTTCAGTTCTTTTAGATATATACCCAGAAATGAGATTGTTGGATTATATTGTAGTTCCATTTTTAATTTTTTGAGAAACCTCTGTACTATTTTTCATAACCATTATACCATTTTACATTCTTACCAATGACTAATTTTTTTTTTTTTTTTTGAGACAGAGTCTCGCTTTGTTGTCCAGGCTAGAGTGAGTGCCGTGGCGTCAGCCTAGCTCACAGCAACCTCAAACTCCTGGGCTCCAGCGATCCTTCTGCCTCAGCCTCCCGAGTAGCTGGGACTACAGGCATGAGCCACCATGCCCGGCTAATTTTTTATATATATATCAGTTGGCCAATTAATTTCTTTCTATTTATAGTAGAGACAGGGTCTCGCTCTTGCTCAGGCTGGTTTCAAACTCCTGACCTTGAGCAATCCGCCCGCCTCGGCCTCCCAAGAGCTAGGATTACAGGCGTGAGCCACCGCGCCCGGCCTCCAATGACTAATTTTTATAATCAGTGCATTTCTTATAAACAATCAGAATACTATATGTCAGAAAATTTTACATAGCAAATATCTTTACATTTAGATTTTTCAGTTTAAATTTTCTGCCTATTTAATGATTACCCATAATTTTGACATTGACTCTAGTACAAATATCATTACTGTTAGTTTAGATTTGTTTATTTTCTATAATATAATTTTTGGAAATACAGAGAAATAAGTGAGTTTTTCCATTATGACTGAGTAAAGTTTTTTTGACCTTACGGAAGGTTTTCTAATGTTAACATTTTGTTAATAAGATTATGTATAATCCATCTTGTTCCAGGAATATTCAAATATTCAGGTTTATTCAAAAGTTGAATTTGAAAATAAATTAACAACAGTTTAACATTTCTCTATAAAGAGCATTTTTCCAAAGTGCAGTTCAGTGAAAGAAGTTGGATAGGAACATGAAGTTACAGTCCTCCCCTGGCCCTCATTATTTCCCTTTCCTTCTTTATTTTTCCCTGAAGTATTTATCACCATCTCTATCTTATGATATATTTTCTTTCTTCCTTCCTGTGTAGTCTGTCTCTTCCTACTCTCCAATCATGTTGGCTCCATGAGATAAGGGACTTTGTTTTGTTCACTGCTGTATTTCCAGTGCCTGAAACAGTACCTAGCATAGAGTAGATTCCTGGTAAATATTTGTTAAATAAATGAATGTTGGTCTGGCTTAGTCTAGCAATACTTCTTTAGAATATCTAGATGAATTTATGAACTGAATTTCTTTAGCTAATCTTGAGTGTTACTTTTTTCAGTCTCTCACTAGCTGTTGAAAAGCAGTAAGTGTGGGATGGTAGCCCCTGATAAGAGTCTATAGTAGACTTCTATGTTTTGAATTTAGAATAGAGCTATAATGCTTAAGAGTTAGTTAGGCTAGAGGTATTTTGCTTTTCTCTAGTGGAAAAATTGAAGACCATAAAAGGGAGATACTGTAATTTTCTCTTCTGGGTAAGCCAGAATCTTCTCTGGAAATAATACTGCATAAGCAGTTGAGTCTGTAAAACATAACTTATTTTAGAAATTCTCACAGCAAACACAGCCAAATGGTAGCACATTTTAGTCACTGAAAATGTCACAAATGTACCCGTAGAACATACAGCTTTAAATAGTGTACCTCTCTGTATTGCTTCCATGAAAAACTCATTGCAGAAGATATGAGTGTGTAAAAATGAGTAGCTCACCATATGTTGAAAGTTGGGAATAATATAACTGAAATATAAAAAAATTATCAATTCTTGTAACTCAATTGAGAGTACTACATTTTATTACCGTGAATTAAAGGGGCCTTTGTAGTGAAAACATTAAAATATGTCAATATAATTTTACTATGCATGCTAGTATTTATTTTAATATTTTCTTTAGGAAAATTACAGTGAAATGATTAAAAGCCCTGACTGTGGAGTTAAGTTAGCCTAGATTTGTGTCCCAGTTCTGCCACTTACTAGCTGTGTTACTTTGGTCAGGTCATCATTAGCCTTGGTCTCCTCCACTTAAGACTGGGTACTGGAATATAAATAGTAGCCTACTTCATAAGGATGTTGTGAGTATCAAATAAAAGAATGCACAGTGCCTGGCTCATAGAAATTACTCCAAAATTTAGCTGTCAATATTAGTCATATTAATGTTTACTTATTTACCTTCTTTAGAATTGCATTCCCTTTGAAGAGCAGCTTCAGTCGGTTTTGGGAAATCCTGGATACAAGCATGTGATTGGACTACAACCCTTATCTACCTTAGAATCCTCAGACAAGTCATCCTCCACACCTTTTCCTTTTAGAACTGGATTGATGTCTGGAAACGTGACTGAAAACTTAAAAGCTTACATCGACAAAAGTACACAGCCACCTGGTCAAGGGAATACTACAAACCTTAGCGAGTGTAAAATTATGCCACAAAATCATTCGCTTCTTGAAAATGATCTTAAAAATGCAGTATCCTCTTTCTTACCAAAGAAAACAATTGACAGCTCAGATATATCTAACTCTGAGTTGCTGCCTTTTCTCCAGAATTTGTGTAGTCAAGTTAATCATCTCCGTGTGGGACGTAAGGCTGAGTGGCAGGAAAACATCACCAAGCCCAGTGAAGGCATTCTTGGTGTTGGGTAAGTATTATTTTAAGACAAATGTAGTTTAAATCTGGTAGCTGAGAGACTCAGATGAAGAGAAACAGATTTGTCTCAATGAATACTGCCTAAAAATCTGTTTCCAGAGAAAATTTTAGCAGCTTTTTTTTTTTTTTTTTTTTTACATTTTACTATTAATACACTTACAGGGAATCACTACAGAGTAGAATGGTTTGCTTTGAAATTAAGTGCCCATAGCTGAAGGTGTTGCACACTTCTCAGGCATTTTGTGGAAGGGTTATAAGTATTAGCTAAGTGTTCGAGTAGAAAGTGATTTGCATGAATGGAGAGGAGCTGTGGGAATCATAATCTTTACATTGTTTTTATTTATGTTTGTACTATTTTCTGCCTCAGTATGTTAAATATCCATTGTAAAAGGTTTTTTTTGTAGATTATGTTTGGTCTAGGCTAATTTATGAATAATAATAAACTATATTAGGATCATAATTATTTGTAGTATACAAGCTCTTACCCCTGGTCTCTTAATCCTTTATTTTGGCAACACATATTTGATTAAGAAGTAGCTAAGTATTTATTATGTTCCTAATTCTTTACATAGGTATAGTGTGTCAAATTGTGTTCTAGACTGGAATTCAGGACTCTGGTCATAGTTTTGGCTTACCCATTTTGCCATACTGTTTAATCTTCCTCAGTTTAGAGTTTTCATCTGAAAATGAGGTAGCTGGATTATTTTGTAACTAAACATTTATTGAAGACGGTAACAACAGTAGCAGAATATACATTTTTTCAAGTGTCCATGGAGGATTCACATATAGATTATATCTTGAGTCATAAAGCAAATCTAACCAAATTTAAAAGGATTGAAATCATACAAAGTATATTCTCCAACTAGAAATCAGTAACAGAAAGACAGGAAGAAAATTCCCAAACACATGGAAATGAAACAATACACATAAAACTATGGTTCAAAAAGAAATCTCAACAGAAATTAAAAACAATACATGGAAATGAATGAAAATACAAGAAATCAAAATTCGTGGGATGCAGCTAAAGAAATGTTGATAAGGATATTCATAGCACTACATGATTACATTAGAAAAGAGGAAAGTTCTCAAATCAATAGCACAAAATTATAACACCTCAACCAAGATGAAATAGATAATCTGAATAGACCTATAACCATTAAATAATTGAATCCATAATTTAAAGTCTAAGCAGAATGAACCTAAAGCAAGGAAATAGAAGGAAATTATAAAGAGCGTAAATGAGTTTACTCAAAAACAGGAAAATAATAAATGAAGGATGCAAAAAGCTGATTCTTTGAAAATTTTAATAAATTGGTAAACTTCTAGCAAGACTGGCAAAGATAAAAAGAAGGAAGACACAAATCACCAATATCAGCAGTGTAGCAGGATATCACTACAGATCCTAAGGTCATTAAAAAGACAATAATAAGGAAATATGACAAACAATTTTGTGCTCATAAATTTGATAACTTAGAAAAAATGGATTAATTCCTCAATAACTACAAACTACCAAAATCAACCAACGTGAAATAGGAAATGGAATAGTCCTATAACTATTTAAAGTACTTAATTTGTCATTGAAAATCTCATGAAAAAGATATATCCTGGCCCAGATGTTTCCACTGGAGAATTCTACCAAACATTTAAACAACACAAATTTTACCCACTTCTAAAATATAGAAGAGGCAAGATTTCCCAACTTATTTTGTGAAGCCAGTGTTACTATGATACCAAAACTAGATTGCCACAAAGAATTGAACATGTAAATACATGTAAAATATACAAATCTATAAAAATAATTACAAAACATGTAAAAATACATATAAATCTAACAACATGTACACGATCTGTGGACTGAAAATTATAAAATACTGTTCGAAGAAAGACCTAAGAAAATGGAGATACAAAACATATTCATGGATTTTATGACTCACTATATTAAAAATGTTAGTTCTCCTCAAGTTGATAATATAAGGTTAATGCACTTCCTATGAGTAGTTCAAGATTTTTTATAAATATGGATGAGATTTCTAAAATTGGAAATGAAAAATTCTAAAAAAATGGAAGGATAAAGGAACTTAAAAAAATTTTTAAAAAGAAGAGTAAAGTTAGAGAAGCCCCTACTTGATTTCAAGATATAGAGCCACAGTATTCAAAACTGGTATTGACAAAGGGATAGATACACAGATCGATAGAATAGATAGCACAGAAATAAGTCTACTCAGGTTCACTGATTTTTGACAAAGGTATAAAAGTAATTAAATGGAGGAAGGATAGTCTTTTTAACATGTAGTACTGGAGCAATTGGATATCCACAGGCAAAGAATAAATGGTGACTGAAACCTCGTACCTTATACAAAAATTTAACGCAAAATGGGTCATAGACTAAAATGTACAATATAAAATTGTAAAACCTTTCTAATAATCTATGGGAGAAACTCTTGAGGACCTAGGACTAGAAAAAGACTTCTTATGCTAAGACACCAAAAACATGACTTATAAGATGAAAAAATTGATATATTGGACCCCATCAAAATTGAAAACTTTTGCCCATGAAAGATCTTGTTAAGAGGATTAAAATACAAACTGGAAGAAAATATTTGCAAATCACAAATCCAACAAATGGCCTATAAAAACTCAACATTAAAAAAAACAAAAATACACACAATCCAATTAGAACATGGCAAAAGACAAAGTAATTTCACTAGAGAGAGTATACAAATGGCAAATAAGCAAATGAAAAGATAATTGACATTGACTTTATAGCTATTAGGGATATGCATATTAAAATCACACACAAAAAACCCCCACAAGATATCGCTACATATTTATTTGAATGGCTAGAATTTAAAAATGGTAACAATACCAAATGTTGGCAAGGATATGGAAGAACTGGATCTCATACATTGCTGGTGGGAATGTGAAATGATGTAGCTACTCTAAAAACTATTTTGGCAGTTTCTTAAAAACTAAACCTACAGTTACTATACGACCCAGCAATCATACTCCTGAGCATTTATCCCAGATAGATGAAAGCTTGTCTACACAAAAACCTGTACTCAGTTGTTCATAGCAGCTTTATTTATAAGAGCCCCAAACTGAAAATAATAAAAATATCTTATGGTGTGTGAATGGTTAAACAAACTCTGGTATGTGCATATCATGGAATGCTCATATGCTTATAGGCAATGAAAAGAAGCAACTTGGCTGGCTCACAGAGGCACTGTGCTGAGTAACAGTATGATCTCAAGAGGTCACATACTATATGATCTCATTTAGATAACATAAGTAACAAAATTATAGAGATGGAGAACATATAGTGATTGCCAGGTGTTAGGGAAGGAGGGGATTGCGGAAGTAAATGTGACAATAAAGGGGTAGCAGGACGGAGATTTTGTAGTTAAGGAATAGTTCTGCCTCTTGATTGTAGTGTTTAAATAAATATGTATATATGTGATAGAACTATACACACATTGTATCATTTCATATCAGTTTCCTGGTCTGGATATTATAGTTAGATAAGATGTAACCATTAGGACAGTTGGTTGAAGGATCCTGAGGAACTCATAACTTTGCAACCCAGTGAATCCATAATTTCAAAATAAACCATTTTTTAAAAACCCTCCTTGATACAGAGTAGTGGTTCTCAAACTTTTTTGGTCTTTACACTCTTAAAAATAATTGAAGATTTCTGCAGTAAGTCCGCTTGAAAAAATAAATAAATAAATAATTGAAGAATCCAAAAATCTTTGATTTATGTAGGGTATATAAAGATATTTATTCCTGTGAACACATTTGGGGCAAAAAAATGTTTAAAAATAACCATACTAAACACTATGTGTTAATATAAACATAAATAACAAACTTTATGAAAATCAGCCAAATTTTAAGAAGTTTAATGAGAATGGTGTTTTAAGTTTATGGAAATCTTTGTGGTTTAGCTTTTGGCTGCATTGTCCTATATGTTGCATTATGGCATGTATAATCAATGTAGCTAGTTAGAGCATACTAACAATACTGAGAACAAACTGGGTTAATCTCTGAAAAAGCGTATATTTATACACTAAACCTATTACCTTAAGAAATTTTAGGAAAGAATACACAACTAAAAATTTTAATAGTCATCAGAGCAATGACATTACATGTTTTGTAGCCCTGGAAAATGCCAGTGTATAAAAATGAGAATATGAGGATGAAAAAGTCAAATATTAATAACATCTTAATATAAAAATACTTTTGACCTCATGGAATCCCTGAAAAAGTCATGGAGACCCCAGGGTTTTGTGGACCACACTGTGAGATTCACTCTATTAGTGTTGAGTATGAATGTTCGGAACTGGTGTGCTTTTCATTTATTATTAATTTGCCTATTTCAGTTAAATTCATAAGTGTTCTATTCGTATTGGCTTAGAATACCTTCCAGTAATTTAGTAAAGTTGTTTGTATGAAGGAAGAAAAAACTGTTTAAATTGTAGGGTTGCTTGGGGAAGTACTTGGAAAATATACATGTTGGCTTTTTGAAAATTGGGCAAGAATAGTTTTGCTTTGAATCTCAGTATCAAAAAGGATTGTTCTTGAAGGATTCATCTTCACTTTTGTATTCCCATTTCAATTGTATACTTAATAGAAATAATTTAAGAATGTGTTGGGCATTTAGGACTGTGGTCACCTGTGGTATACTTGGAACATTGAAATACATTGTAAGCAGACAGCGTAGTTATGGAGGGAAATTTCAGCCATGTATGTTGGCTGCTTATTGTATAACTTGGTTATCTGTGTTACATTAGGGAAAATTGATTTTTTTTAAATTGCTTTTTAGAATAGAAGAACAACCTGTTTGCTCCTACCTGGAAAAGATTCTTTCTAAAAATATGGAACTGATGGAAAAGAAATTTATGGACTACATTGATCAGCGAATATATAAACTCCAGGAGCACATAGATGATAAGATTGCTTTGTTAATGGACTTGCTGCAAAATCCCAACCCCCCACCCACTGGGATGCCGCTAAGACATTGTGACTCTGGAGAAAGACTTTCAAATGGAGAGAGATAAGCTCTCAACATATACAATGTACTGCAGATATTTATTGCATATTTATTACAAAGCCAAAACCCAAAAATGTCTCTGAAAAGCAAGGATTTAATGTCCTTTGAAGGTTCTTAATCTTACTTAACATAAAGTGACCTCAGTGTTCATTTTTACTACACTTGTTCATGTAAATCCAGTACTGTACACTATGAGTTAACATGATATAGTCATAAATTATTTTTGCTAGCAAGATTTTTCACTCTAGTAGAAGTTTATGCATGCTTGTATTGCTTAAGTGTTTAAAATGTTTAAGAATTTCTAATTCAGTTCATTAGTTTGTATTGTATATTGTATATGTGTTTAAAGTGACTTATTTAGTAAAAGGTGAAAGATTTATACCGTCTGAAGAGAAACCAGAGTATGAAGTGACTAATTTACACAAAGACCTTATTATATAGTTTTAGGAATATAAAAAATAACACTTAGAGTATTTGATTCTTTTTTTCTTTTTCTAATTGTCTTGGAAAATTGGATACTTAAGACTTGGAACCTTTAATTCAGATCACTAATTTACATTTTGTATTGCTTATCTGAGATAATGAGTAAGATGTGATCCATATTTGGAATGTGTGAAATTAGTTCACACCAGCTGTTTATTTGTTTCATAGCAGCATAGCTGTAGATAGGAAAGTAAACAATCAGAAATGGCCTATTTCTTGTTAGGATTAGTCCTTTGGATTTGGTGTTTCGTGTGAAACAGGAGCAGTCATCTCATTTGACCTAAGTAACCCCAGATAGTGTAAGGAAGTCTCTCTTTTTGAACAACTGATAAATGTTTTTCTCTCCCAGAGTCCTTTTCTGGTGTGTTTACCATATGAAATGCTGAGGTTCTGCATGGAAGGATTAAGGTATATGAATCCAGAGATTGCAGTTCTCTCTGGCAGACTTAATTTTCAGATCTTGTAACTCCTGTATATTTGTTGAAGGGTGATATATTTGCACATAAAAATAAATACATCCACTCTGGAAGCTACTTGTCTTAATAAAACTATTTTATTTTTAATTTTTGCTTAACATGTTTTATTTTTAAGGAAAGGGTATCTCATACACATTTAATATTTTGGCAAGTTTGTTCTTTAAAAGGAGGTCTAATTTATATACTGGTGTCCAGTGTATGGCATTTTACAGCTACTTGGCATCAGTTAGTCTAGAGCCCACTTAACAAGTGGCTTTAGGAGGTAATTATTTAGCTCCAGAGGGGAGTCATGACTGCTCTTGCATTTCAGTGACTCTCTGAGCCTGAAAATCAAAGGGGCTCACATTCCTCAGTCAGTTACCTTTCTTTCTCACTGTGGTCCAGGGAGTCTGGCTTGGGCTTTGGCTGCAGGTTCCTGTTACAGCTGAAGATACTGCTGGCAGGATCAGTACAAATCACTGTTACACTGAGCCACAAAGGAGGCAGCCTGCTCTGAAGATTCGGGCGATAGCAGCAGGAGAAATCTGGGTTTTCCAAAATGCTGAAGGCCACTGAGCTCAAGCCCATCTTCACACAGGTCAGACAGCTTTAACCCAGGGGAGTCCCACCTGGCTTTTCTCACCACCTTTGGATGAATGGAGTCCCCATCGGGGGGAGCTGGATGCAATTGACCAAAGCCCTCAGAGGAAGAGCCAAACCAGTGACTCCCCCTGGGCAAGATCAGCTGAGGCTGAAATTGGAAATGCCCTGAGATAAAGGTGCATCTCCCTTTTGGGGTTGGAGATGTGCTGAAGGCTTTTATTTTCTGCTCTAACTCTCCTATTGCAACGGAATATTACAAACTAATTACCTCAAGTTCCAAAGTGGTTAACACATCTATTTAAATAAAGGATGTTTATAACCAAGGAAATACTAGAGGCAGAGAGGATTATTTTCAATGTTGGACATTTATTCACAAGTATATAAAATAACATTGTTCATTATATAATATCATGTAAACACTCTAGAACTTGATTTGAATAATAAAACATTCCACTAAGAAGTACTGTTCATGAAGATTTTCATGCCCACTTTTCCCAAATCAGAGTCCCTCATTTACGTCACAGCAGCAAGGTGGCAGGGGGTCACAATCTGCATACACTCTGCATCCGTCACAGCACTGCATCGCAGCGGGATAAGGATGGGGCTTGTTGGCATTCTTGACCCAGCACAACTTGGCTACGTTATCACCTTTTACAAGCACAAGATCAGGTTCCCTTGCACATCTTAAGAAAAAACATACACAAAGCACAGGCTTAGAATTTTTCTTCTGTCCATGTGTGGCAGTTGTCAGGGTTATCTGGGAAGTTTAGGGCTGGAGCCAGTCAAACGTGACACCAGCACTAGATTTAAGCTCCCTCCCCCGTCCCAAGTTCCTCTCTAATCCCTTCCTTTTCCATGATTGCTATAATGTAAAATCAGGCAACAGAAGTGAGAGTGAATTGCAAGCAGTAATCCCCTAGCTGGTCACTGCAGGCCCTCAAGAGGCAGGAATGACGGGAAGACGCTGCCTTGAGCTGTGCCCAGGCTCTGGGATGTGCCATCTGACTCCCTAGAATGGGACACAACTGCTTCTGACAACCAATCTCTCCCACACCTGAAGGGTCTTCTCCCCAAACTGTGATCATCTCTTGTCTGACCTATACCCCCTTGTTGGCTGTCCCCAGGATCTTCACACAGCTCAGCTGTGCCAGGGTCCCAGAGGCCCACCTCACCATCCCCCATCACTGGCAGTGACTGAGGGAGCATCCTGAGCGCCCCCAGCTCAGGCAAGAGGAGATCAGTCCAGCCCGCCCTCTGCACGTGCACGAGGCAGAGTCACTCGGGCGGCCCGTCCCACAGCCTTCAGCCTACGGGGCCCAGGACAGAGCGGGGCCGGCCAAGGTGCTGATTCACCCACCATATGGGAAGCTCAGCAAGGTCCAGTGACAGCCGAGCAGCGCTAACACACAGCCCCAGGCAGAGAACATTCTACCTATGAGCTCAAGAACCCAAGCCGGAAGGAAGAGCAATAAGGTTCTAACTCTGCTGCCTTTTTTTTTTTAGACAGCGTCTTGCCTTGTTGCCCCGAGTTGGGTGTAGTGGCTTTCATCATAGCTCACAGCAACCTCAAACTCCTGGGTTCAAGCGGTCCTCCTGTCTCAGCCTCCTGAGTAGCTCTGGGACTACCACTGTGCGCCATAAACTCCTGGCTAATTTTTCTATTTTTAGTAGACACGGGGACTGGCTTTTGCTCAGGCTGGTCTCAAACTCCTGAACTCAAGTGATCCTCTCGCCTCGGCCTCCCAGAATGCCAGGATTATAGATGTGAGCCACTGTGCCCAGCCTTCTGCTGCCTTTTTGCCTTTCCAAAGCTGCCTGCCCTTCCTGCCCTCACCCACGTGTGGCCACAGCAGTGAGGAAGGACCTGCTCAGGCAGAGAGCCCAGGTATCCTGTTTGAGGAGGTGTTGTCCAGTCTTACCCACGTGACTCACTTTAGCGCTTTGGCTATTTTGATGTAAAGACTGAGAACAATGCTTGTCAGCACAATCGTGGCAATCAGTAAGCTGGTTCCAATGCCGATCATAATCTTCGTCCTGAGATCAAACATCTTTGACACACCTAGGCAGAGAAGTGCAGTCAAGCTGAATGTGGCTTTTCTCCCCACACAGCCCTTAACAACCTCAAATGCTTCCTGCAGTGGAGAAAATGAACCCCAAACAGATCCTATGAATGTAAACCACAAGTAAATCTTCCCAGAAAGGCCCAGGAGCTTAAGATAGCCTATGGGTCGGTAAAAAGGTATATTTGTGTATGAAAAAGGACTGAAATGCAACTCTGGAGAGAAAGAAATCAGAAATACAGAATCTGGGGACAACCACTCTCTTTCACATGCAGTAATGTGCAGCTGTAAATAAAAACCTGTGCTGGAGCTGTTTTGCTCTCGAACACTGAGTCTCCTGAAATATGTTCATTCTGAGAGTCAGAATTCACCCCTCACTGTACATTAGGTTTAAAAACATTTTAAGGAATTAAGGGAATTACTTTTTTGTAAAATGTTACTGTCTGACAATACTGAGATTATGCAAACCCATTTCATAAGTAAAATGTGTTTTAGGAAAATAAAATTTTCACTTCTCCCACTGATAATTGGGTCATGCCATCTTGGGATTTAAGGAGATTCTAGAAGCTTCCAGCCAAGCCCTTGCCCAGGCTCAGAGATGGGTGGTGCCTTGCTCAGACCAGGAACCAGCTGCTTCAGAAGCCTCTTGTCCCCCATTCTGTCTTTCTAGTAGGCCACAGGCCTTCCGTTGCCATATTTCCTCCTAAATACTAAATCCTCTGAGGAAATCCAGTTTGTCTGGAGTAAGCAATTTGCCTAATCTAACACTCTGAAATTGGGGGACAGTGAGCCAAGAAAGAAGAAACACTGACTGCTAAGCATACTCACTTCAGTGAAAACATTCAGAGCTAGATGAATGAAGGCCAACTGTAAAAAAATTAAAAATAAAACTTAGGGAACAAGATATTTTATCAGGAATTTATCAAACCTGTAATCTGAGAAAGATAGATCTAATTATCCGTGTTAAGAGTAATTAAGATCCAAGGTTGAAAAGCCCGCTTTCAGAAGTGCAGTCTCTGTCTGGCCAGAGCTAGTAGAATGGACTAGCTCCATCTTTTACGCCACGGGGCTGTGTGACATCAGCCCTCTGGACACCAGCTCTCTTTCATAGAGTTCTGAATTCTGTTCCATGTCGGTGTACACTTGAGCTCTGATGAAATATAAACACTACTTTGAATCACTTAATTCTAAATCTTTTACCTTTTGAATCACTTAATTCTAAATCTTTTACCTTTTCAGGTAAAAGAAATCTAAGGTCTTAATTCCCTTAGATTAATCTTCAGGATTTGACTGTTAATCAAAAGCCAGTTCAAGATATCAATTTAACAAATAAAATGACAGAAATGTGAGGAAGCCTTACATTTAGACACCCTCACACTTAAAAAAATTAATTTTAGAAGACTGGTTAGACTTTCTGTTTTAGTTACACAATGAAATAATATGGAGCTATTTACTAAGACTCAAACACACGTCCATTGACATGGGAAGATTTTCACTCTTTTTTTTTTTGAGACAGAGTCTCGCTTTGTTGCCCAGGCTAGAGTGAGTGCCGTGGCGTCAGCCTAGCTTACAGCAACCTCGAACTCCTGGGCTCAAGCAATCCTGCTGCCTCAGCCTCCCAAGTAGCTGGGACTACAGGCATGCGCCACCATGCCCGGCTAATTTATATATATATATATATATATATATATATATATATATATATATATATATATATATGTATGTATGTATATATATTAGTTGGCCAATTAATTGCTTTCTATTTATAGTAGAGACGGGGTCTCGCTCTTGCTCAGGCTGGTTTCGAACTCCTGATCTCGAGCAATCCGCCCGCCTCGGCCTCCCAGAGAGCTAGGATTACAGGCGTGAGCCACCGCACCTGGCCAAGATTTTCACTCTTTATGGTTAAAAGTCACAAAAACAAAAGTGGAATAGGATGCCTGTTCTAGTCAGGTTTGTATGACTTTAAGGTACTCATACCCAGTCAAAGTAGTAATACAATTAAATGAGATTCCAGGTGCAGACAAGATTGTGTAGACTTGTTTCTCCCTGATCCTCTCAGCTAAGTGTTAACTATATCCCTGAAAATAACACAAGAGTCAAACAAAAGAGGACTCTGAAAGTTGGAAAGAAAACTGATTAGAAGAAACCCCAGACCTGGATGAGCATTGTAGCAGCAGAACAGAGGAGCTGGCCAGGCCCGGTGTTTTCCAACTCTCAATCTAGCTCCTTCCTCCCCTGGATTTAATGTGAATCCTGCTGACAAGCCCAGGCGAGCCCAGCAGCAGTGGCCTGGCAGGGCGGACTGGGCCCCCCGCTGGCAGTGAGCCAGCAGGGGAAGTGCTCTTCTGCCACCCTGGTCCTGAGACTGCCCTCCTCTGACACTATAGGGGATCCCGTCATATCCAGTGGCCCAGCCCAGGAAGCACTCTTTGTCCCTGTGGGCTAGAGATTGTCTTCTCCTGCCTGGGGACTCCAGGTGGCTTCAGTTGGGTGAATCTCCACTGCTCCTCAGGCAGGACTATCTTGGACCTGGGAGCCCCAGTGGCACCAGATAAACTGAGTAGACCAAAATAGCACTATAAAAACCTCTGGAAATTAAACTCTCATTAGAACCTCATCCCACAAAAGTAAGCCAGGACCAGCATGCTAAACCCAAGCAGAATGATTACCTAATAAAATATTTAAATAGGATCTAGGCTATCTTAACGTAACAGTCAAAATGCCTGGTATTCAATGGAAAAGAAAATGGATTTTCAAGTTTCCTATAATTGTAGAGCTATCAAGAAACATATACCTTATTCTTGATTTGTAAGGAGAGAACAGAAGCATGGAAAAAGATAGGGAAAGGGGAAATTAACGTTTAATGTCTATTGGTTACTCCCTGCATGCCAGGCCCATGGTAGGTGCTTCATGTTCAGAATACTATAAGCCTCCCACAAGAAGCAGGCTGTCATATCCCCATTTTCCAGAAGAGAAAACTGAGGTCAAAAAATGTTGAATCACTGTCCAAAGTTACACAGGAGGTAACTTAGATGGAAGGATTCAGATTTCTCTATGTTGTGTTTTTTCCTCTAAGCCATGTTGGACATATGTCCAACAAGTTTTTGATGGAAACTCAATCAACAACAGGTCTCTTTGCTAGGGAAGCCTGCAGTAAAACGCCTTTGTTCCATTTGAATCATCATTTCGACTCATGTTTCAAGAATTCAGACTCCTCAAAAAGTCAGAGTTCCCTTTATCCTCCTCTATTTCTCTTTTAGAACCCATAATTCTCATTTAAATAGAAACTTTCAGGAGTAGTCTTGGTTTTAAAATTTGAGTCTGAGTCTATTCCTTCAGAGATTTATCCATTTAATAGGTCAGTGTTTTTCTGACTTAAGTTTGCATAAGTATCACCTGGAGAGCTTGTTAAATCATGAATTCTAGGCCCCACCACAGAGATTCTGATTCATTGCTTCTGGGGTGGAGCCTGTGAACTTGCCTTCCTAACCAGCTACTAGGTGAGGCAGAGGCAAGGGGCTGATCAGCTGGCTACAGCTTGTGTTTCCTAGTTATAACTATACTGCAGCATTTTGTGAATCAAAGAACAGACCACAACTATCAGAAGCTAAAGGGTTTGATAGGATGGCCTGGCTAATAAACTCTCTAACAGAGAAAAATAGTTTATCTAACAGAAAGAGGAATAAACTCACAGCACATAATTGCCCCTTTGAAGGGAAAGATTATAGCACAACAGCCTCCTTGTTTGATTAACCACCTGTGAAGTTTCTTTTCACAGCCTTGAAGAGCTCTAAGCAGATGGCAGGGGTGTGAACTCTCTGCTCCAGGTCTGGGCAGACCACATTTCAAGGACTCTGATAAGCCAGCCTCACAGAGAAGAGAAAAAAAAGGGCGGGGGGGAAGATGTAGTGGCTTCACAGCCATTTTCCTGTTTTTAGTCCACAATAGTCCAAACATTTTTTTTCTTTACCCCCATAAAAATCCCAAGCCCCTTCTGCTCGGGGCCGACCCTTTTTACTCTTGGGCCCTACCACCTGTGGGAGGTAAAATAAACTTTTTCCTTTAAAACTATTCTTTGTGTCAAGAATTCTTTCTCAGGCTGGGCATGGTGGCTCACGCCTGTAATCTTAGCACTCTGGGAGGCTGAGGCGGGTGGATTGTTCGAGGTCAGGAGTTCAAAACCAGCCTGAGCAAGAGCAAGACCCCGTCTCTACTATAAATAGAAAGAAATTAATTGGCCAACTAATATATATAGAAAAAATTAGCCGGGCATGGTGGCGCATGCCTGTAGTCCCAGCTACTTGGGAGGCTGAGGCAGCAGGATTGCTTGAGCCCAGGAGTTTGAGGTTGCTGTGAGCTAGGCTGACGCCACGGCACTCACTCTAGCCTGGGCAACAAAGCGAGACTGTCTCAAAAAAAAAAAAAAAAAGAATTCTTTCTCAGCCCATGCTGCGAGTCCCCGCACTAACAGGGTTCAGCCTTAACTGAGACACATTTCTCCTGCATGCTGAAGGAAATGCCACCTCATGGCTATATGCTATAAATAAATAAGATGAGTCTGGTAAAAGTGATGTACAGGTCCTCAATTCACTGAGGTCAGAAGGAGATTCATAAATGAACAGATGTTATTAACAGTTCTCATGTTAAAGAACTAAATTTCCCAAAATATTAAATGAGTCTAAAACATCCTTTTTCACAAAAATGAACATCTTAACAAATATTAGATGAAAAGAAACATATTTTTACTTATTTCAGATAAGTTTCCACAGTGGGTGCATTTATTTTTTTAGATACAAATATATTACCCTTTAACACATATACAATAATTATAATTTCTGAAAACTAAGCCTGCCGGAGAGAACTGTAATCTCTTTGATTCACCTGCCTTCCTCCTTTAATGGAGAGCCTCAGCATTTCACACTTTAAACGGATCAGGAAAGGTTTTGGAAAGAAGAATCTGTATAAGCTCAAAAAAAGGAGAGACCTGCTTATGTTTTCTGGATTTCAGATAAAACAAGACTTCTCCCATTTTACACCAAACACTTAATCCAAAATAATAATCCTATCAAGAGGCCAGTTCTGATATTCACCTTCCTATCTACTGCTATAATGTGACAGATCATAAAATGGCCCCAATGGGAACTAATTTTACACATGCCAAATATCACATCTAATTTTCTATCTGAAATAGACAATATAAAATATAAATTGGTGATATGAAATTAAAGGTTCCAGTTTTCCAAGAATAGTCAATTAGAAAAAAAGTCAACTACTGTAAGCATTCTTTTCACACCCATAAAACTATAAAGTCTTTGTTTAATATAAGTTAAAACACTCAAACACATACAATACAAACTAATGAACTTCATTAGAAATTGAACATTTTAAACAAACAATATATTATTTATATAAATTTCTTATAAGTGAAAAATATTGCTAGCAAAAATAATTTATGACTATATCATGTTAACTCATAGTGTACAGTACTGGATTTACAAGAACAAGTATAGTAAAAATGAACACTGAGGTCACTTTATGTTAGGATTATGATTCTTCAAAGGACATTAAATCCTTGCTTTTCAGAGACATTTTTGGGTTTTGGCTTTGTAATAAATATGCAATAAATATCTGCAGTACATTGTATACGTTGAGAGCTTATCTCTCTCCATTTGAAAGTCTTTCTCCAGAGTCACAATGTCTTAGCGGCATTCCAGTGGGTGGGGAGTTGGGATTTTGCAGCAAGTCCATTAACAAAGCAATTTTATCATCTATGTGCTCCTGGAGTTTATATATTCGCTGATCAATGTAGTCCATAAGTTTCTTTTCCAGCAGTTCCATATTTTTAGAAAGAATCTTTTCCAGATAGGAGCAAACAGGGTATTCTTCCATTCTAAAAAGCAATTTTAAAAATATATCAATTTTCCTTAATGTAACAAAAACAACCAAGCTATACAGCAAACAGCCAACATACATGGTTGAAATTTGTCTCCGCATCCCTGCTCTGTCTCCTTACAACATACTTCCAAGTTCTAATATAAGTACACAACAGGAACCACAGTCCTGAATGCCCAACACATTCTTATTTAATTCTTTTTATTAAGTATACAATTGAAATGGGAATATAAAAGTGAAGATGAACAATTAAAGAACAATCTTTTAGGACAGGTCTTTTTAATATTGAGCTCCAAACCAAAACTGTTCTTGTCCACTTTTTAAAAAATCAATATGTATATTTTCCAAGTACTTCCCCAAGCAACCCTAAAATTTTAAGGTTTTTTTTTTCTTCTTTCATATAAACAGCCTGGAAAGTTCTTTCAACCTTTCACAACACATTAACAAAGTTATTAGGAAACTGGACTACCATTACCATAGATGCTACAAGTGCACACAGTTCTGACATGGAGGGGCAAAATCAAGGAGTGGTTTTGTTTAGGAAACAATTCTACTAAAAACCACCATAGGAATAGAAGTAATTTAAGATGTTCAAGACATATCAAATATACAACTGTGACTCCTAATTGCCATTTAGAAATCCTCTCCCATGGATGTTAAACTGACTCCAGATAGTTAAAGCCTCCTGTAATTCAGTATCCCATTATTTTCTGACTGTACTAAAAAATACATAACCAGCAAATTATCTCTTCTTCAAAAAGAGCATTTATACTTAAAAAACAGGATGAGGTGGGATTCCCTCATTTTAAAAAATGTTTTCTAGAGCTACTAAAATATGTACTTACAAACTAGTTGATAAAAATATTCTTCTGGGTTACACAAGGGAGACAGGGACCACAGAAAAGCCACAGTATATATTGATCAGATCTGGCCTTTCTCTCTTCCTCAGAAGCTGGACTCCTCTCGTTTTTAGTCTGTTTTCTGCAGGTAAATCTTTAGTTTCTTGGTTAGCCACTTCAGCCTGTTTTCCCTTTCCTCTCCTTTCCGCTTCTGTTTACACTTTTTTGTCTGAGAGTTTATTCCTCCCTGCTGCCTTTTTGGGCTTCATTTCCACTTTTGAAGGAGCAGGTGTAGCTGACAACAGCACCAACCTCCTCTTGGGCACCTCCTTCACTGCCCCTTCAGGTGGGTGGACCTTTCTCTGGGGCATCTTGCTGATGCTGGCCACCTGCAGGCCCCGTGCACCTACAGCCTTCATAAAGCCAAGCTGCATATCCTGCCACCCAAGCTCACTTGTTTTCCTTGTTCTTATTTCAGACAAAACACTTTTGTTTTAGCTGTTCGAATAGGTGTGTTGTGATACTTCATTGTGGTCTTAGTATCTTTTCATGTCCATATGCTATTCACATCTCCTCTTTGGTGAAGTATCTCATGTCTTGCACATTTCTTAAATGGATTTTTTTTTAACTGTTGAGTTTTGAGAGTTCTTAGTATATTCTAGGTATGAATCATTTGTCAGATTTTTGGTTTGCAAATATTTTCTCCCAATCTGTAGCTTGTGCTTTCATCCCCTTAACAGGGTCTTTCAGAGAGCAAAAGTTTTTATCTTTGATGAAGCCCAATTTATTGATTTTCTTTTATGGATTGTGCTTTTGGTGCTATGTTTAAGTACTCTTCTGCAATTCCTAGTTGCTAAATATTTTCTATATTTCCATCTAAAAGTTTTCTATCTAAAAGATCACTTAAATCTACAACCCATTTTGAGTTATTTTTTATATTAGATGTGATGTTCCTATCATAGGATATCCATAGCCTATGGATATCCAATTGCTCTAGCACCGTTTTTTCAGTTGATCATATTTGTGTGGGTCTACTTCTGGCCTTCTATTATGTTTCTATTCATCTATGTTTCTATCCCTCTGCCAATACTACATAGTATAGAATACTCTCACTATATGAGACTAGACATTGTATGAGTGAGTCCCAATCACTTTATTCTTTTTTTCAAAGTTGTTTAAGCTATTCTACCATTTTTGGCCTACTCATATAAGTTTTTAAGAGAATTCTAGGTAGCTGTAAAAAATCTCAGTGTGATTTTGATATGAATTACATTAGGCCCCCCTGCATCAGTGGGGAGAATTGACAACTTTGCTGATTCTCCAACCCATGAACATGGTACATTCCTAAGTTTATTGAGGTCTTCTATGATTTCTTTCATCAGTATTTTATAATTTACTGCATACAGATACTGCACACATTTTGTTAGATTCATAACTATTTCACTTTCTCTGGAGCAATTGTAAATGGTATGTCTGTTTTAAGCAGGAAAGCTTACCTTCATTCTTGTATTTTGTACTGTAAGAAGTATAAAAGTCAACATTTAATAATTCATTGTTCACAACTGGTTTATAAAGACAATTTTTTTAAACAGGGTCTCACTCTGTCACCCCAGCTAGAGTGCAGTGGCATCATCACTGCGCACTGCAACTTCAAACTCCTTCAGGGCTCAAGTGATCCTCCTGCCTGAGCCTCCCGAGTAGCTGTGACTACAGGCATGTGCCACCATGCCCAGCTAATTTTTCTATTTTTTATAAAGACGGGGTTTCGCTCTTGCTCAGGCTGGTCTCGATCTTCTGACCTCAAGCAATCCTCCTGCCTTAGCCTCCCAAAGTGCTAGGATTATAGGCATGAGCCACCGCACCCAGCCAACAAATTGTTTTTAATTTCAGTTTCCACATGTCATTGTTATTACAATTAAGCCTCAGTACCTGTGGTGAATTGGTCCCTAGACCACCCTCCCCTAACCCTGTGGATACCCAAATCTGCAGAGGCTCAAGTTCCTTCTATAAAATGGCATAGTATTTGGATATAACCTATGCACATCCTGCCTCATACTTTAAATCATCTCTGGATTACTTGTAATACCAAAAACAATGTAAATGCTATGTAAATAGTTATTATACTGTATTGTTTAGGGAATGACAAAAAAAGGTCTGCACATGTTTGGTACAGAATTTTTTTTCTTGAATATTTTTGATCCACGGTTGGTTGAATCCACAGATACAGAACCCATGGATATGGAGGGCCACTGAATATAGATAAGCAATTTGTTTCAATTTTTCATCCCGTGACCTTGCTGAACTCAATTATTAGTTCTAAACTTTTTTGGGGGTATATTCCGTCGGATATTCTACACAGACCATCTTGTCACTGGCAAACAGAGATAGTTTTCTTTTTCTCTTTGCAATCTAAATTCATTTTATTTCCTTTTCTTGTCTTACTGCAGGGCCTAGAACTTTTAGTACTATGTTGGGTATCAGTGGTAAGAAAGGACATCTTTGCCTTGTTTTTGACTTAGGAGGAAAGCGTTCAGTCTTTCACTGTTAAGTACTATGTTAGCTGTAGGTTTCTTGTAGATAACCTTTATAAGGCTGAGTCATATTATGGTTCCCACAGCTGCTCTCCATTCAGGCAAATCACTTTCTACTCCAACTCTTACCTAATGCTTGTAACTCTTCCACAAAATGCCTGGGAAGTGTGCAATACCCCCAGTTACAAGCACTTCTGTAAAGCAATCAATTCTACTCTGTAGAATAGTTACTCTTTTTAAGTGTATTAATGGTAAAATATTTATTTGCTAAAATTTTCTCTGTAAACATTTTCAGGCAGTACTCATTAAGACAAATCTGTTTCTCTTCATCTGAGTCTCTCAGCTACCAAATCTAAACTACATTTGTCTTAAAATAATACTTACCCAACACCAAGAATGCCTTTGTGCTTGGTGTTTTCCTGCCACTCAGCCTTACGTCCCACATGGAGATGATTAACTTGACTACACAAATTCTGGAGAAAAGGGAGCAACTCAGAATTAGGTATATTTGAGTTGTTATTTGTTTTCTTTGGTAAGAAAGACGATATTGCATTTTTAAAATCATTTTCAAGAAGCGAATGGTTTTGTGGCACAATTTTACACTCATCAAGCCTTGTAGTATTCCCTTGACCAGGTGGCTGTGTACTTTTGTCGATGTAAGCTTTTAAGTTTTCAGTCACATTTTCAGATGCCAGTCCAGTTCTAAAAGGAAAAGGTGTGGAGGATGACTTGTCTAAGGCTCCTAAGGTAGATGATGGTTGTAGTCCAATCACATGCTTGTATCCAGGATTTCCCAAAACCGACTGAAGCTGTTCTTCAATGGGAATGCAATTCTAAAGAAGGTAAGTAAGTAAACATTAATATGACTAATACTGACAGCTAAATTTGGAGTAAGTACTATGAGTCAGGCACTGTGTATTCTTTTGATACTCAAAACATACTTATGAAGTAGGCTACTATTCATATCCCAGGATTAAGTGGAGGAGACCAAGGCTAATGATGACCTGACCAAAGTAACACAGCTAGTAAGTGGCAGAACTGGGACACAAATCTAGGCTAACTTAACTCCACAGTCAGGGCTTTTAAACATTTCACTGTAGTTTTCCTTAAAAAAATTTAAAATAAATGCTAGTAAATTTAGTAAAATTCCACTGGCATATTTCAATGTTTCTACTAAAAAAGCCTCTATAATTTATGGTAATATAGTACTCTCAATTAAGTAAAAATAATTGATAACTCATTAACTTTCAACATATGGCAAGCCAATGTGGGTATATCTCTTACAGCTAGTTCTTCATGTAAGATGCACTAGATAGTTATACCACGTAAGTCTGACATTCTAAAGTTTGTTGTTATATTCTCAATGACTAAAATGAGCTACATGTTTTGCTATGTCTACTTTAATAACTTGTAGGATAATAGAATTACATTTAGTAGCCTCAACTCAACTAGCTATGCTTTATTATTTCCTGAGAAGACTCTGGCTCATCTTTGAAAGAAGGTTATACTGTTTCTTATTCAGGAATATTTCCCTGCTATACTCTTCAACTTTTCCAGTAGAGAAAAATAAAACTACCTCTAATCTAGTGCTCTACCCTAAATTTAAAACCTAGAACTCTACTACAGATTCTTATCAAGGGATATTTCATATTTATTATTGCTCAGTATCTAATAAGACTGAGAAAGTATTATATCAGATAAGCTGAAAAAACTCAGTGCATACATTTTCTAGATGTTTTTTAAAAAAAATACTGGATTAAGCCAACCCAAAATTCATTCATTCAAAAAATATTTACCAGAAGTCTACTCTGTGCTAGGCACTGTTTCAGGCAAATAAGAGAGTATACTACTGCAAAAAATATTTGCACTGGAATCAATGTCAAAATTGTGCAACTAATGACAACTAATTTGACAAAAATTTTAACTAGCAAAATACAAATAAGGTATTTGATATGCAAGTTTTTCTTTTCAGATACATCATAATATTTTGAATATTTACAAGAAATTCACTGGTGATAAAAAGCCTATTTTCTCTAATGACAGGTCTTAAGGTGATTTTTCTTCTCTTTGTAATAAATATCAAGAAATTCACAGGTAAGTCTATATAGCAACACAGTAAATGAAAAAACCTCAGGAGCTGGTAGCTATTCCTTTGCTTCTTTTTGTTTCATTTTATTCAATTATCAAATTTCTTTTGCTGTCATGTTGCTTTGCAAGTAATGCCAAATCCTTTAAAAGTAGACAGAGGAATATGTATTCAATAATATAAAGGACATGCCCTTCACCAATATAATTCTACTTGTAGTAATCTGCCCCAATGAGATACGTGTAGAAGTGTGCGAAAATGTGCAAATTTCTTCCTTGCAGTGCTAATCATAATACCAAAAAATTTGGCTAACCTAAAATTCATTAATATAGCCCTAATTAAATAAATATAAAATATTTGTAAAGTGACATACTATATCTTCATTAAAAATGGCATGGGGTATACTTCTTGCTCAGGATGTGGTCCGTGTCAAATGTTAGTGGAAACCAACTACAGAGCAACACAAAAGAACATGAAAATTATTATGCAGAATTGTCCATACATTTACATCTGACTATGTAAAAAAATAACAAATGTGTATGTGTACATAATTTCATATATATGCACACCCCCCAAAACTTCTGAAAAATTAAGTGTTTATCTCTGAATTTTTTTTTCTTTTTTGAGACAAGACTCTTACTCTGTCATCCCAGGTAGAATGCAGTGGCGTCATAGCTCACTGAAACCTCCAACTCCAGGGCTCAAACGATCCTCCTGCCTCAGCCTCTCAAATGGCTGGGACTACAGGCGTGCACCAGGATGCCCAGCTAATTCTTCTATTTTTAGCAAAGATGGGGTCTCGCTCTTGCTCAGGGTGGCCTCAAACTCCTGACCTCAAGCAATCCTCCCACAGTGCTAGGATCACAGGCATGAGCCACCACGTCTGGCCTATCTCTGAATATCTTGTAGGATTTCTGAAAGCATTTTTTTTTATTATAAAAAATTCAAACATGTCATTTTGAAAAAGAAGAAAAAAGCTGTTTTTATTGCAAAGGTAAAAAAAGTAAACACCATAAATCACAAATAACTGAATATATTTGGAGAAAATGGGGCACCATCTTTTCATTCAGATAACATTAAATGACAATATATCATGTACTTTAATATAGAATTCCTATTCAATTATTCTAAATTGCTATAGCAAAAACAAAGCCAGCCATCTGAACTTCAAATATAAGGAAGTAAGAAATAACCTTAATAGTTATTACAATATCATGAAGGTCTGGATCACTGTTTCAGATACACGTGATTCAGAGTATTGAACTTTAATAAAACTTTCAAGGAAACCAGTAATCCCAAGGCACAGGTGAAGCAGAGGCAGGCTGAGATTCCTTGTGTAGGTCCCCAAGTCCTTCCTTTCCACCAGGACAGGCCCCGCCCAATGTGTGTGTGGTTATACCACTTACACAGAGGAGTTGTTTTGGACATGAAATAGCCCTATTTTATGCTCAGATAGTTACATAGCTTATAGGACATTTTCCAGGGAGAAATACAAAGATGCCTGGTTTGTTAATCCCAGCACCTTTTTTTTTTTTTTTAACTAGGAAGGAAGTCTTTTTTAGCAGGTTTAAAAGATTTAACATTCATTGTTCCCCAGTGTGGCCCCCAAATGTCTCCAGATATAATGACTTAGTGTGTGTTGGGGGAACAGGGTACAACCTACTGTGTAGGGTGGAAGGACTTGTGTTTTTTTTTTTGAGACAGTCTCACTTTGTTGCCCGGGCTAGAGTGCCATGGCGTCAGCCTAGTTCACAACAACCTCAAACTCCTGGGCTCAAGCGATCCTGCTGCCTCAAGTCTCCCAAGTAGCTGGGACTACAGGCATGTGCAACCATGCCCGGCTAATTCTTTCTGTATATTTTTAGCTGTCCAATTAATTTCTTTCTATTTTTGGTAGAGACGGGGTCTCACTCTTGCTCAGGCTGGTCTCAAACTCCAGAGCTCAAACGATCCACCCGCCTCGGCCTCCCAGAGCGCTAGGATTATAGGCATGAGCCACCCTGCCCGGCCAGGACTGTGTTTCTATATGAAGAGAAAACTCTAGAAGGATAGAGTTTATAAGCATAAAATATACTATGCATAAGACTCACCTGCAGATGCTCATTTCAAATGTTGATTCCTGGATCCCACCACTGATTGAGGTCATTGGTGAGAACGAGGAATCTGCATTTTATAAACATGCTAAAGGATTCTGATATAGGGAGGCTCCCTATCTCTATCCTTCTTGAAACAAACCCACTTCACTCTAGATACCTACACATTCCAAATACCCATTTGCTACCTAATCCCTCCTGTCTCATCACTATTCAAATGAACCCCCTGAAAATCTCCAAGGAGTACTTACTTAGTTGTTAATCCCAAGGACAAATTTGCTGTATACATATTCAGAGCCATAAACAAGACCAGGTCTCCATTTGCATGAAGCTTACATTTTAAAGAGATAAACAAAACAATACATAAACAGTAAAAGTAGTCAAGAGGGCTCTGATGAAAATATGATATCAATTTGGAGGCAAAAGGTACTTCAAACTGGGTGGCTGGGGAAGATCTCATTGAGACTGTAACATTAAAGCCAAAATCTGATAAGAAAAAGTCAGCTATGCCAAGATCCAGGGAAAGAAAACAGCGACGAGTACAAAGGTCCTGTGGTAGAATCATTTTGGACACTTGGGAAATACACACAGCAGCCATCTGGAGCAAGGTGCCCAAGGAAATGTGGCAGATGAGGCTGAGGAGGCAAGCAGGACCCACATCCTAGAGGTCGGGGTAAGTAAGGAATCGAGATTAATTCTAAGCGTGATGGGAAGCAGCAGCAGTGGGGTCTACAGAAGGGCAAGATGAGATCTCTTCACCCTTTCAGATCATTCTGGGTGCACGGTAGCAGCAGGAGACCAGACAGGAACCTCCTGAGGCATCCAGGTGAGAGAATGGTGGAGGAGGAAAGAAAGTACAATTTCTTTCTTTTTTCAAACCCTCCCTTCTGTGGTTTCCCCAGTCTTTAGCTCTCCTGATTCTCTTAACTCTGCCCATACTCCAACATGAATATTAACTTAGTATTTGTAAACCTTGCAATATTTATAATGAGTTCTTTACCTGGATTACTTAAATTTTCACATCAGTAGTGTGACCTTTATAGTATTATTATTTAGATTTTGTAAATAAAGAGCTCATATGGAAAAAAGAATACGAATCAACTTGCCACAGGATGCAGAATAAGAGACAGCACATGAACTTGCTTTGCCTGACATCAAATCCTTTCTCTTGCTACTCTATCACACTGCTGTCTTCTGCTCTTCTGGTTCCCGTTTCTTCTCTGTATCCTTACCAAATGCAGCAATTCTGCAAAGGTCTTTCTTCCTTGCTTCGGTTTCTCTCTTTACCATGTTCTCTGTTAGCTACTGTGAGTACACTCCTAAAACCCTCTTTCAGCCACTGAAGGTTCATACCACTTCTGCCAATCCTATGTTTCCAAATGCCTGCAACATTCTTCCAGCTGATGTTTTATTCACAGCTAAAACTCAATATTCCCCAAATTAAACTCCTTTTCTACCCAAGTGTCCTCTTCCCTTGGGTTGCATTTAAATTACTGATATGGCCATCCTCAAAATCCCAATTTCACATTTGACTTTATTTTTCTCCGGAAATACCAGTATTAAGTTAGTTATCAAGTCCCAATGGATCCATTGTTTTAGCATCTCACGATCCAGCATCATGTTACTATGTCCAACCTTAGACCCTCATTAACTCTCATCTGGAATAGGGAAATAACATGTAGCTTGTCTCCTTTTTGTAGCTTCATCACACATAACAGTGGAGTAAAATTTCTTGAAACATAGGTCAAAAACATTCACAACTTGAAAATACCATTTAAAGCTCTCTATGTTCTAGCTCAAATCTACTATAAACTTCCCATTACTTCTTTGCTCCAGAGACATGAACTACTAATCATTTCCCAGTTATATCCAGATCCTCTAGCATTTAAAATTTTATCCGCCTTATTTTCTTTGTCTGAAACGGCCTCCCTCTAGATTTACTTGCCTAATCCCACCTTTCTTCAAAGGTCTAGATAAACTTGCCACTTCCTTTAGTAGCCTTTCCTACTCTGCCTCATCACTCCCTACTTACGTGCTCTAGATTGTAAAAATCTTTAAAGACAGGCTATAGACTAACTGATCATCACTGCAACTGCAAAAGTGTTCAAACCTTGTTCACTGTGAAGGTGCTTAATACTTGCTGATTGAATGAGTGAATAAATTCATGAAAAAGTGTGAAGATCTGTAGTCAAAATGTTTTGTTAAAGGGTAAGTCTATCAAATAAAATGTTTATGAAAATAAAGATAACAGTTGAATTAATAAAAAGAAAAAAAGTAAGTCACTACATGTCTTTATAAAAAGCCACTGTTTTCAAATTTTTAAAGGTATCTGGGAAGAAATCCATTTCTACTCACCAGCTGTTGAAACCTAACCATATTCATCAATTGCTGAGCTCCAGGTGATAAGTTTGACCCCATGGACTCCATTATGGCTTGAACCCTGTCTAGGTCTATCCTTGATCCCAGAGCTGGAGAGCTTGTTGAAGAATCTGCTGAAATCGGTCTCATGTGTACCACAACTTTACTGATGAACACACACTGCTTTTCACCAAAGGACAGCAACTATTACAATACAAAAGTTCAGGAAAATAAATAATGACATTAAAGAATATTCACTATTTAAGGTCACTTTTTATTAAATTAGCAAGAGTAGAGTATTCAGGAAGGCAAATATAAACTTTAAATATATTTTCATTTTTAAGTTTTCTCTAAAATAGTAATGGTCAGAACTTTCAATTTATTATGAAGTTCAGAAGAATAATTTATATAAGACAATGTCATTTTCAAACTTAAAAAAATACACTAAATACACAAAAGGAGGTTAAAGTTTTACTTAAGGAGCTAAAAATAAACTATACCAATCTGAGACTTTAAGACACTGCAGCTTGCTATTTTTATTATAAAATATGGGTGTTCCCAAGTCTATCCAAAGTGTTTACTAAAATACTTAATATAAATCAGCCATTTAGAACTATAAGGAAAAGCCAAGATAGTGCCGTATAACCTGATGATGTACATATTAAAGAAGAGGTCAGAGTTAATTCTCTAACTTGTCAAAGGATTACCCAGGAAGCAAAAAGGCTCAGAACCTAGCTCTTCCGGCTTTTACAGGAGTGCCCTTTCCAATGCTTTGTGCTGCCTCAGTTCATCCATGTTTCTGAACCAAAAGACATTTCATGTGTGGTAATGACAACAGAGTAGCAAAGTGCAAAAAAACCCCAGGAGTTAGAATCAGACAGACTGGGGTTCAATTATGATTCTGCTGCTTATAGCCTGTATGATGCTGGGCAAATCCCAAAACCTGAGTTGGGAGTAAAATGAGGGGATAATAAGAATGGTTCCACATGGTTGTTGTGATTATGCGTTAAAATTTCCAGTACCTACCAGTAAATACCCCAAAATATGCATCAGTTACTATTTTTTTCATTTTCATATACCACTGCCCCAGAAAAGCTTTAGCAGGCTGGGGACCTCTCTAAATGAAAAGATGCTTTGCACTCACATATTCCATAGAATGGTTACAAAAAACACTCACCATATGTAACACAAAGACACAGGCCAAACCAGACCCATGGCACCAAAGACATGACTGTCCTCAACAACTGAGGAAATACTCCATTAAATTTAGACATCCACCTCTCAACCTCTGTGTTATGCCCTTTCTGCTTCTTAATTCTCATGGCCTTTCTCACCATCAAATTTAGTACAATTTTATTTATTGAACATGTTTATTATCTGTCACTTCCCACTAAAATATAAGCAACACAAGGGCAATAATTCCAATTTATTTTATTACTGTTGATTCCTAAATGTCTAGTAATCTAGCATCAGAAGGCACTCAAATTTTTGTTGAATAAATCACTTATTGAAAACTTTTTTTTTTTTTTTTAGAGACAGGGTCTTGTTCTGTTGCCCAGGTTGGAGAGCATGATCATAGCTCACTATATAGCCTTGAACTCCTGGGCTCAAGCAACCCTCCCACCTCAGCCTCTCAAATCGCTAGGATTACAGGTATGAATTTATTAATAAATTTATTAAAGCAGGGAGCTATTAATGTACATTACCTAAAATGTCTTAGAATAATCCTTTCTGTAAGTTTGCTAGTTGCCTGCTTAAGAATCATTAACTTTTTCCTTATTCTTAAAATAAGTCTTACAACCTTGAATAAAGTAATGTGGAGACACAAAGAATACAATGCTTGATTTTTTTTTTTTAGTTCCCTAATTTAACCAAGAGGTAGGTCCAAAGAAATGAAAACATTTGCCCAAGGTCATTCAGCCAATCAGCAACAAAGCTGAATATTATGGGATGACTCTGATGATTATCACTAAAGTTCACCTCAATAATATTTTTCATATTCAAGACACCAGTCCAAATCCCTTCAACTTTTAGGTGCTCTTCTCTGTAACCTTTACTCTTGTCTTTCTTAATATAATGGGCCCAAACCCAAAATGTGGTTTCCTTGGCACCATAGTTTTATATAAAGATCAGCAGGGACCAAGTTGGACTAATTGTATTAATAAACCTACAGTAAATAAGTATGTACTATACATAAACATTTGCAATTGTCAAATTAGTTAATTTAAATTAGTGATAACTTACCTTTATTTTACATGCATGAGACAAGGACTCCAATTTTAAATATTTTTTGTAGAAAATAATTTTGTTTTCACTAAAAATAAAAGTAAAATTATTTTCACTTTTATAGACTATCATTTTTAATACTAGCATTTAAAAATAAACTGTCTGCAACAAACCATACTGCTTTGGGGAAAAAAAAAAAATAAAAAAAAAAAAAATAAACTGTCCCCAGGTCATTGCTTAAATCCTGAAATTTAGTCTGCCTGGTAAGGAACAAAGAGTTGGGATCTTGCCTCAAATGACCCAGTTACTAACACCGCATCATGTATTACTATTCCAATATGCACAATACATAAAATAGTTTGTATTCTGATTTATATAGGAGAGATTAGTGTAGAATCTTCCTATAAGCTACTAGAGAAAATAAGAATCTATAAGAGACTGAATCACAGATTAAATAGGCTTATATGGGTTTGTGTACCATTCTTTTTTTTTTGAGACAGTCTTACTTTGTTACCCTGGTAGAGTGCAGTGGCATCATCATAACTCAGACCAACCTTAAACTCCTGGGCTCAAGAGATCCTCTTGCCTCAGGCTCCTGTGTAGCTAGGACTACAGGGGCACACCACCATGCCAGGCTAATTTTTTCTATTTTTAGTAGAGATTGGGTATCGCTCTTGCTCAGGGTGGTCTGGAACTCCTGAGCTCAAGCAATCCTCCTGCGTTGGCATCCTAGAGTAAGAATTACAGACGTAAGCCACCGGCGGGGTTTGTGCACCATTTGTAATGGGCTTCCTCACAAAAAATGTGTTCAAAGCTCCAGACTGATTGCCAAATTAATTTCGAAAACAGGCCATTGTGTTTTTGGAGCTAGCCAAGCAGCAGCAAGAAGGACTGCACTATTGTCTGTATACATTTATAACTAGCATGACCAACTCACCTCCCCCTTATTAGCTCAATCTCTACATTGATAAAAATGAGAAAGCTGATCTAGACAGCCTATGAGATCCTTCAATGGTCTAAAACTTCTATGTCTACTGGTTTTTATCTTCTCTCCTCTAACAAATGGCATCCATGTCAGATAATCAATAAACACCACAAAGGCTGTGGGAAAATAAGACTGATTCAGGAGAACACTTTGACTTGTACAAGTCACAAACCTGTCATCCAGGACAGTACCAACATCCTTGCCCTGACTGGTTCCACAGTACTCCTCTCCTAAGTATACTTCCATGTTTCTTGCAGAACTGAGAATGCCCACAGAAACGATTTCTCCACCTCCGGCAGGGTCACACCTCAGGTAGAGGAAGCAGGGGCTTTCATCTTGGCTGTTCAGGCTTCTCTTCAAAATCACCAGATCCTGCCTGAGAACAAAATTGGTAAAAACATTACACAGTAGACTTCTCTGAACGCAGCTCAAAACTCACTTATTAGGCCGTGGCTGTTTCTTCTAACTCACTTCCACTTGCCCTTGGAGTCCAAGCACCCACAAATGCTCAATACAGAATTTATAAAAAAAGGGAGGCGTCAGACATCAGGGCTTTCCCCTCCATGGATTTCCCTCAATCACATTCTACTCAATCCCTGTGACCGAGTCTCAGATAATTAAATACATTTACTGGACAGCTATTGTGTGCACAGGAGTGGGGAACAGAATACAACAAAAGACAAGAGTGCATCTTTTCCAAACTTAAGTTGACAGCACTCCTCTACAGTTGGACTTTCCAAAAAGCCAGTTTGGGTCGACAGGTGGCTTATTTGCTCCCGGGGAGATGGGCGGATTGATTTTGACAGAACTGACAAGCTATCACGCCTGACATAGGGGCATGTTTATGAAATTCCGAGAGTCCAGGTCACCTTCCCCGCTCTCCTGCGCCCCCGGAGCCCCGGCCACTTCCCGGCCAGACCCCCACCCACCGGCCCACACCGGACCCCCACCCTCTGTCCCCGGCCCACCCCGGTCCTCGACTCCTCCAGCGCCGCTTCCCCGCACAGAGCCTGCACCAGTTCTGCTCCCGGACCCCGGGCACAGACCCTCCCCCGTCGCGGGCCCTGCCTCCCCCAGGAGCGTGTCTGTCACCCGGCGCAGCAACCCCAGCCCGGCGCACCCCGAAGCAGGCGGCGCCAGCAGCTCTTTGCAGTCGAAGTCGCGGGCGCCGAGACCAGCTTGAGTGAGAAGGAGACTCTGGGTCAGGGCCCCGCGTTCGGCATCCCAGGAAGAGGCTAAGGTCGGGCGGCGACTCAGTCCCGCATCCTCAGTCTCAGTCTCCATTCCGCCGCCTCCAGCCAGGCCGGCCCAGCCCCGGAACCTCTCTTCCAGTGCTTCAGTTTCCGCCCGTGCAGCGCGAGAGAAAGCTGAGCGACTTCCGGCTCACTCTGCTTCTAATACCGGCCGCTTCTTTTTGTAAGGAGAGAACCAGCTACCGTAGGTGCGCATGCGTAAACCATCTGGCTTCAGGAACCGCGTTCAAATTTGGATGGCAGCAATCAAGGGTGGAGCATGCGCACTGACAGCTCCTCAGTCTGCCGCCGGATAGCGTACGCCGGCGCTGTGCGCTGCGTGTCCACACGGGGCGGTATTTCGATGTTGGTTGCGGGGAACCAACAGATGGCGAGGACGATGGTTACAGGGCAGGTGTGTAGTGTCTGTCAGGTAGGCGTGGTCTCGTCGCTGTACGAGACTTACTGGCCCAGCGGCCGACTCTGTTACCTGTCGAGTGGACGTCGGGGTCTTTCCCGGGCCTGTAAATGCAGTGTGTGGCATTTGGGGCGGCGAGCGCGGCGGACGGGCAGTCGATTCGGGTTATTTTCACTCTTCATCCACTTTAGCCCGTGCCACACATTCTCACGCCAGAGGGGAGCTGAGGAGGATGGTGGGGTTTGGGTTAATGGTGGGGTTTGGGGTTGAACGGCGTCTGTGGGGCCGCGTGGGCCTTTGCCAGGCGCCGTCAGGTCCCGCCGGACTGGCCCAATGGCGTGGCTGAGAAGGGCCCACCTGCCGCCTCGGGCCCCAGGAACCCGGGTAGCCAGGGTTGGACGCCCTCGGTGATAATCAAGAAAGATCCCGGGTGTGTGGATGGAGTAATGGGATAGCTACAGGGAATTTTCCAGATGCCCCGTGGGATAGGAAGGTAGACCACACTGCTTTCTTCATTTCTGTCCAGGTTACCTTTTGGGGGGAAAAAGCACCAAAAAACAAAACTGGAAATTAGATTCAAAGAAAATTGCAGTGTCAGTTTTCTTTGTATTGGGGCTGTCATATTTGTATTTGGGGTACTCTCTAGAAAATAGAATTTCACTTTATCTCACGTTAATCTTATCTCAGTACTAAGTATTCTGAGCTCATAATTAAGTACAAAATAATATTCTCTTTTTCTTAAATTTTCATTTGAGTCCGTATATTTGGATATTTAACCAATTCAGAATAGAATGACCTTTTCCATTCTTTTTACCTGTGGCGTTGTGCCAGCAAAATTATGAACGTATGTATTTTTCTGTAGGTAATCACTTATTCAGAGTCTATATTAGGTGGACTTATCACGATTGAAAGAGAGAAATCCCACTAAAAATCTGATATGTACAAAATACAAAAGGTTAAAAGTCCTTAATTGTAAAGATCTTAGTTTTAATGATTGCAAAAATTAGTACTCCAGACATGTCAACAGGTTAGAAGCCATCATAACTGTCTTCACGACAGTAAAAAAGCTGAACAAACTAAACATTTAACAACTTTTTAAAAATCGATCAGATAATTGAAGTCACAAGGCAAATGGCCACCCCAAAACTGGAGAGAGAGACAAATATAGAAAAATCACAGCAGAGATCAGCTTACCTTTTTGGGTTTATGAGTCTTCTTTAAGCAGTGACTGGCAGGAACACTTAAAATGGTCATTAATAAATTGCTGGAGGCCAAGTGCAAATTAGCTTGAGAGTTAGAAATTCCTGGGAGCCCACTCTTATGGTGCCTTGTACACTTTTGTAGGGTAGGTTTACCTCCCAAAGCCCCATCAGATTCTTACAGCAAAGATTGGAGAAAAATCTCCACTTGCTTTGCCCTGGGGGAGGGGAAAAATAACCATTTTGAAATACTTTCCATTAGCATTCTCCCTAACAAAGGACTCCCATCAAGGGAAACTACCAGAACCTTAACAGATCTTGGGAAGGGTAATTAGACAACTCCAACCCTCTCTAGCCTTCCTATCTCATGTAAGGGGAGGATAAAAGAAAGACTGAAGAACACTTTTGAAAGTGATAGCCCAGGGAATCATGCCTACTGAAAAACAGATTTAGTCTTCAGATGATAGGATGCTTCTCCCCAGTACCTTAACACCACATCAACAGGGCTCCAGTGTAAACACAGTGGATTATAACTGAGAGAGCTTTAAGAACAGACTCCATTTTAAAAAGTGTTTCTAGGGAAACCCAAAGACAATAGGGGAGCTCAAAGCAAGAATAGTAGAAGAAATTGAAGCCCCTAACACCTGTAGTAATAGCATACATTAAATATAGCCTAACTTCTAGCCAGATTGACATAAATCTTCCCACAAATAGTCTGAATAGCCTGATTACCACAGTTAACTATGCATTCCTCCGGATACATTATGTCTAGCTTTCACCAAAAAATTACAAAGCATGCTAAAATGCAACAAAAAGCAAGAGGCAAAGGAAGCATCAGAACCATTCTTAGATATGATGTAGATTTTGTAGTTATCAAATAGAGAATTTAAAAGAACTATGATTAATATGTTAAGGGCTCTAACAGAAAAGTAAATAGCATGCCGGCACAGATGGGTAATGTAAGCAAAGAGATGGAAACGCTAAGGAAGATTTAAAACGAAATGATAGATGTCAAAAAACTGACATCAATGAATGCCTTTGATAGGTTCATCAGGAGACTGGACAGGCTAAGGGAAACATCAGTAAGCTTGAATATATGTCAATAAAAAACTTCCTTGAGTGAAAAGCAAAGAAAATGGAGAATGAAAAAAACCAAACAGAATATCCAAGAACTCTGGGACTATTACAAAAGTTGTAACAAGTGTAATGGTAATACCAGAAGGAGAAGAAAGGAGTAGAAGAAATATGTGAAATAATAATGGCCAGGAATTTTCCAAAATTAATGACAGACACTATCTCACAGATGCAGGAAGCTCAGAGAACACCAAGCAAGATAAATACCAAAATATCTATATCTAGGCATATACAAAATGCAGAAACCAAAGTGAAAGAGAATTTTGTTTAAAAAACCCAGAAAAAAAATACATCTCATGGTGAACAAGGATATCACATTCCATCACATTTTTTCATTAGAAACCATGCAAACAAGTGGAATAAAATATTTATAGTGTTGAAGGAAAAAACCCACCAACCTAGAATCTGTGTCTAGAAAAAGTATTTTTCAAAAGTGAAGGAGAAATAGAGATTTTTTTTTCTCATGCAGAAGTTGAAGGAATTTGTCACTGGTAGACCTGCCTTGCAAGAAATGTTAACAGAAGTTAATCAGAAAAGGATATAGGTCAGGAATTCAGATTTACATAAAGGAAGAGCATCAGAGAAGGAATGAAGGCAAAATAAAATCCTTAGTGCATTTGTACTTAATAGAGCATCAAGTATGTAAAGCAATAACTGATAGAACTCCAAAGAGAAATAGACAAATTCAATATTATTGTTGGAGACTTCAGTGCCCCTGTATCAGTAATTGACAGATCCAGCAGGCAGAAAATCAATAAGGATATAATTATGCAGAACAGTACCATCTGTCCACTGGATCTAATTGACATTTGTAGAACATTTCATCCAACAAGAGGAGAACACATATATTTTTGAAACACATGGAACATTTACCAAGACAGACCACATTCCAGGTCATGAAACACACCTTAAGTTGTGAAGATGGGCTTGAGCTCAGTGGCCTTTAAAGGGCATTTGGAAAACCCAGATTCCTCCTGCTGCCATCGCCCAAATCTTCAGAGGGTGCTGCCTCCTTTGTGGATCAGTGTAACAGTGATTTGTGCTGATCCCACCAGCAACGTCTTCAGCTGTGACAGGAACCTAAAGCCCAGGCCCAAGCCCAGACTCCCTGGACCACAGTGAGAAAGAAAGGAAACTTACTGAGGAATGTGAGCCCCTTTGAATTTCAGGCCCAGAGAGTCACTGAAATGCAACTGCAGTCATGTCTGCCCTCTGGAGCCAAATTACCTCCTAAAGCCACTTGCAAAGTGGGCTCTACACTGTTGCCAAGTAGCCCTAAAATGCCATATGCTGGACACCCTAACTCACATTCTGTAGTTCAACGGTGGAAAGCCAATCACTAACCAATATTATTTCTCTAAACCAGGGAGAATTCCTGTGAAACAACTTTGTGTCAACCCACTTCTTGGCCCCTTTGCCTTTAAAAACTGCTTGTAACAAAGGCCTAATGGAACACTCTCCAAGGCAACTTGGAAGTGTATCTGGGGCTGCAGTCCTCAACTTTGACCCAAATAAACTCTCTATATTAATTTTGCCTCAGTTTCTTTCTTTAGGTTGACAATAGCAATGGATGGTAGAATGCATCCTCACCACTTCTGCTTACCAGCTACCTTCCATTTGAGCTCCTTCCATGGAGCCTCCTGGAGCCTCTCAGCACAGACTTCCCATCCATAACCACAATTTGTGCCTCCTACCATTAGCACAACCCTTGCTTGTGAGCATCATGTATTCTTAATTTAAGGAGTTACTAACTAGTAACAGGTGATTATCTATTAAAAATGGGGTAAAAAGAAAAGCAAATAGCAAATGAAAGAGACAGGAAAGGGATGAACCATGGGCTCAGCATCCGGAGAGGGCACTCTGCTGGCTGAGCTTCAGTGCTCTGGGCAGAGGGTTTGGCTGTCTGGGGAATCTTCCGGCCCTCAGGGGTGGAGAAATGTGCCAGAGCAGGTGGGGGGACCTAGTTGCTCTGGAGGACCTGCCTTTGAATGGCCAAGCAAATCCCTTGCAGGCTGATCTCCTAGCTCCAGCAGGCTGGGACGAGGCTGAGTCAGGGCTGCCTCCTCTCTGGAGGCAAACTTGAGACCCTCCAGCGCAAAGTGGTCTGTCCTGTTTGAGTTTCTGGAACACTGTCTCCATCCCTAGCTTGTCTTTGATTTTTCTCTTGTTGCCAGCAAGCTCCAAGCAGATAGAACATATCTGAGTCCCCTCTTACCCCACCCAGTGGGCAACCAAGTGCCTGAACCCATGAGACCGGTGCCAGCACCATGCCCTACATGGGTGACTACACCTGGTACAGGCATGGCAGGAGTCATGAGGGAAGCATGTGGGACAAGGGGTCTCCAGGACACCCCCTGGCAGCAGGAGGGCATAGCCAAACACATGGACTTTAGAACAGGATGGACTTGGTTCACTTCCCAAATCTGCCTTCACTTGGGGAAGACCCTTGCCC